AAAAAAATTTTTTTTTTTTTTTTTTGATTTTTGATTTGATAAAAAAATATACATATATATAAGGTACGAAACTAAACAAATATGCTATAAAAAAAGCCATTCCGGCATCATTCAAACAATGCGCCGAACTGAAAAAACTGGTTATAGAACTTTATTGTTTATTGTTGTTTGTTAAATAGATAAAGTATTCGGTGAAATAATAATAACAATAAGTTAAGATCTGTTTAAAAAGATTGATTGAAAATTTTTTTTTTTTTTTTTTCCTTTAAAAAAAACTTGCTGTTGCCCGTAAAAACTTGTTTATTATAATTACGTAAAATTTGCTGCGGACACAAACTTCCGGAATTATGTGAATGCATAATTTTCACACATTTTATGCATTTGCATTTTTGGCCTACCCGATCGCGTGATAATCATAATTTCGGTGAGCACATTCATCCAACTGTGGTTCAAATAATATAGCCCAATAATTTGATTAGCTTTTTTTTAAAAAAAATATTTTTAAAAGAAATACAGTAACTTGATCGGCTTTTTTTAAAGGATCCAAGATATGTATATACAGTATTAAGACTTTCACGCGAATTCGATGTTATTGGTACAAAAAAAATTTATTTATTTATTTATTTATTTTTTTTTTAAAAAAAAATGTCTCATTCTGTGAACTTGGTGTAAAATTTTTACATTTTTCAGTCATGTGATCTACGGGTACGAGCGAGGTCCAATACTGGTCCAATAGATGGTCAAAACAATATTAACGTTTTGAATCGATCAATTGAATGTAACTTTTGGGATACTGCTGTTCATATATAAATATTTAATTAATTAAAGGTGGATATAATTTTTAATTTTTTATACGTAAAAAACGTAAAAAGGAAACCATCGTCTCCTTTCAAAAGTTTTTTTTATATCAAATGGTATTTATTACCGAATTTTATTGTATAAGATGCAGAACTTACACGGCAAAACTCGAATAACCTACATTTATGCTCATCGAGTAGATGTCCTTTCAAAAGTTTTTAAAGAACGTCGTAGCGAATTGTTCCTTTGATATCTATATACAAAACTTGGTTTTTTTAGATGAAAATGGTGATTTACTGTATCAAGTTCACCTGATTATGTTCGTCAAGCTTGTGAACGTTCTTTGGAGTAGATTATATCGATCTTTGATCCCAATACGTAAGAAAGAGTTTTTATTAAGAATTGACTATACATTTTTTTCATTTTTGCAGACCTATTGAAGATACTGTTGGTGCTTTAGCAGATCTTGTTGAAGGAAAGTAAATCTATTGGCCTTTCTGAATGTTCCGCAGAAACTTTTCGACGTGCTTATAAAGTTCATCCTATTGCCGCAGTTCAAGTAAATAAATAATAAATAAAGATTATGTTTTTAAGTCCTTGAACTCTTGGAATTATGGAAACTTGTCGCGAATTGGCGTTACTATAGTCCACTCGGGCATGGAGTTCTAACTTCTAACGGTAATTTACATATAATTATTTGTAAATATACATAAAACGAACGTTTCTCAATAATAATAATTTTATTAGGGAAAATATAAATCTATTGATGATTTTGAACCTGATGATGTTAGAAGAACGATTCCGCGTTTTCAAGGTGAAAATTTATTAAGAATCTAGAACTTGCACATAAATTTGAAGAATACGCTATAACTCCAGGTCAACTTTGATTATATCTCAGGTAATATATAATATAACGTGTGTATTATTTGAATTTTGATAGTAACTTTAAATTTTTATATAGGAAGATAACATTGTTGCCATTCCTGGTAAACATTTGGAAGAAAACTTTGATGCGATAAAAGTTAATCTTAATTCTGATGAATTGACTGAAATTAGAAAATTTATTAATTCTGTTAAAATTATTGGCGATAGATACAGTAGTGATATCTTAGATATGGTCGGATTAAACAAATATGAAGTTACAATAACAGTAAACCTACGGTTTACAGTTTGCCCACTCAGGTCATCACTACTAATTTGATATTACTTATTAACATAATAAATAATTAATAATATTTTTTTTTATTTTAAAGAGTTGGCTCACGCTTTATTAAACGAATAGCTGAGGATACAAAATAATTAATAATAATACTTTTATAATTATCATTAATAAATCGGTAATATTACGCTAGGAATTGGAATTGTTTCTAATCCTTACATTGCGAATAGTAAAATAACTGATTTTGAATCCAAAATTGAAACTTTATTAAAAACAACACCCTTGAAAATTATATTTCTAAAGTGGTTGTTGCTGTAGTCAGATTCGCTTATAGTCGTCTCCTTATTTCTCGTCGACAGTCGTCGTTGTTCATTACTTTTAAAAACCATACACTTAAATCGATACAAGATTTTAATAAATTTTTAAAATTTCATGCACTAGAAATACTTCTTGAACACTATCATTTGATCTGACCAAGTAACAGTCATCAATTTCAAGTGTCATTTTTGATAGCATCTCCCTATTCATCTTGTTTCAATCGGTGGAGTATCATATTAATACCAATCTGTTGATAATTATTAAAAATGTTTTTTTTTTTTTTCTTTTTTTAAAAAATTCTATCATGTGTCTTTGTATGTCTAATCTCAATTCTCAGAGTTTCTTTTACTAATACTTTAAGAGAAGTGTTTTTTATCGCCAAAATAATAATGACGTGAAGTATCACAATTCTAAAGCCTATAAAAAAAATATTAATATAAAAAAATAAATAAATAAATAACTTGCAGCAAAATCATAATCAAGAGTTTGACTAACCATTAAATTTTCTTCCAACAGTACTTGGATTTCACGCTTAACTTCTTCAAGATCATAAGTGATTACCATGATTTATCTTGAAAATTAAACATTGCTTAAAAAAAGAGAAACCAAAAAACAATCAATTAAATAAAGCCTCTTATTTAAAATGTCTTAATCATACCATTTCCAAATGTTTTGATGTGATCTCACTATAAAGTGTTACATAATCCGAGACTATTTCGACTTAATGTATTAAATATATTCTCTATTAATTTCCTATAATATTGGCAACACTAGCCCTAGCAAGTGGCGACGCTTTCCTCGGTAAACTAACTTTGATCGTCTCACAATCAATCGTACGCATCTTCAGGACTACTTGAAAAAAAAACAAGCAAATTTAAAAAAACAATTTATATTTTATAATTCAACATAGATTACATGACTTACTTGTTCGTTAATTTTTCATCAAGGTACAATCCTACTGATTGTTGTAATTATGTTGTGATCGCAATGGTTGATGTACACGATAATTCGACATAATTACTTTTTATTTCCGTATAATGTAAATTATTGGTTGCATTCTACAGCAGAAGGATGATAAATGATCAAGCATACGATATATAGCTGTTCACCATTCATCTTATTACCGTATACAAGATTATTATTTAGGTTTGCGTTTATACATGTCTTCATATTGAATAAGATATTTCTTTAATTAATAATAGTGCGATGAAAATAATTGATTAAACTATAGACGATGTCATGTGAAACAAAATCAACAAACCTGGGTATCAATACTTTGTTATTTATGAAATAAAAACGTTGCCGAAGCAATGCTGATACAAAAATAAATTTGCGAATTACTTAGCTGTTAAATGTGAAAAAAAATACTATCTACTGGAGGGGTATTCAAATGCATACAATAATATAAATTTTATTATTAGGAGGTTGCTGGCGAAAATGACTAGAAATAAATTCATTATTATATTGACTAACTTCATTGGTAATTGATTAACTACTCCTGTATCGCTCATTCACTCTTTCCATGACTTCTTGTGATATCTTATCACGGCCTTGTAACATATTATCATAGAATTGGGGACGTGTTACAAGTGTTGGAGTATAAGCCTTTTCTAATGAATCTTTGCCAACAATAATTATGTTTTTGTTATCCTTTATATCAGAATCAAGCGCATCTATATCTCCCCAAGCTATTATGACTAGATAAATATCTTCCATGGTCATTTCAAATTCTCCTATCGGAGTATAGTCTATTTACTAATTCCACCTTGGAATCTTTTCTTTGTTTTCTGGTAACATTTTGATTTTTTTCTTGCTTCACATGATATCTATATTTATCTTTCATTAAATTATACTTTTCTCGTATGTCTTTGCTTTTAAGAGTTGTTGACCTTTCAGGGTAGAAAAATCTGCATTCTATGTTTAATGCAATATGACCACCGCCAACCTTCTCGAATATTGTCATATCAAAGCCACTATTGTTAGTCTTGTCAGGAACAAATATATATTCTTCGAAATTCTTAATGAAAACTCCCTGTTCACCACATATTTTACCATCACGCGGAGGAAACTCTACACTCCTGTCCAATTTAATAATTTTCTTCCTTCGTAACATGATTTTTACATCTCCTTTAGTAGTTGTATTATATGCATCACTTAAACGGTGAACGTCACGAAGACCTCTTCGCGGAGCACACGGTAAAGTTGTTCCCAATTGCAATGAAATGATTCGAATGGTTTCCCATCATTTACACCACCATCAAAATAGCATTCTATCTATCTATATATATATATATCCAACATATCTTTTAATATTTCAACAACAATTTTTGCATCACCTTCTTTCTTACCTTCTTCCTCATACATATTACAGAAATATTGGATGCTAACCAGGTTTAAGGTGGGAACTACACTGACTGTTTCTTCAACTTTAGTAAGAGAATTAATATAGACCCCGATAGAAATGAGATCTGAAATACTATACTCTCTATTAAGAGTATTTATTTTGTGCGACAACCTTGTACTATTCCCCAATAAAGCTCTCTTAATTACTGAAAATGTGATATATGATAACGATGGGAGATTTTTTTTCACCAAACACAAAATAAGAGAACCGTACATGTCAATACCTAAGGCAGTTTTATCCTCCCTTAGAAGCTCATAGAAATTTTCAAGACATTACAGTCTGAAATGCATTTCCTAATAAGATATTTTCTCTTTTCGTTTAGTTCTTTACCATTTAAGATTTTATGGAATAGATCTGTTGATTCTGAAATCTCAAGTCTTCTTAATGGCACCCAGTCGATTTTTTTACCCGAATAAGTCGAATTAGTTCGCACATAAACCGCATCAAGAGTGGTCAAAATGAAATTAAATTTGATCAATTTTCCTTTATCATTCATCAGTCGACTATAGAGATTATTTAATAATTCATTAATGTTATGTTGCCTGCGATTTACATCATCAGTGTTTGGAGAAATTTTCATAGTCTCGTCAACGCATAAAAATACTCGAATGATATAAGATGCTTTGAACGGCAGTATAAATATCCAATGATTCAAAATTTGTACTAAATTTCTCGCAAAAACCCTGCCAGGATAATTTTGCATCATCGAAAAAATAACTCCATAAGATACGCATTACTAATCCTCTTTGAACATTAGCATCTACGAATGAATCATTTTTGTACGTTGAACTCCCATTGTATGTTATGCAAACTACAATCGAATTACGAAGTATATCAATGACATCATTAACTATTTCAATGTATTCACGGTACACTGCGTTTTCTATAATAAAAGAGCATTCCCTATTTGGTTGTTCCTTGCTTTTCAAATAATTATCGAAATCTTCACTTTTCAATGCGGCCAACTCATCAAGTAAGAAAGATTTTCCTCCTCCTGGTGTGGCTTGAAGCGCGAGAATAGGGTGAAGACTTTTATCGCCAACACTTTTCTCCTTCTCTAGGGTATTCTTAATGCTGATATAACGTTTAACAATACAATCATATATTTTATGTAGCGTTTCATCTCTACCTTTTCTTTGAAAGTCGAATCGATTTATGCATAGTTCGTGTGGCTTTGTGAAATCATCTTTAACCTCTTCTTGTTCTTCTAGAAACTTCGCTATGGATTCGGGGCTAAGCCCTTTTAAATTCATGTAAATACAAAGAAAATATTAGGTTCCAAACAATACTAGAAGGAGTGATATTTAACGTATATGATTCTATTTTCATCGCAATTTACCCACCTATTCGTCTCACTTTTTTATTGTCAAGTTCCTCACTCGAATCTTCCGCCTTCCTTTTCCCTAATCGAATAAAAAAGAATGTGAGATAACGCGGATGTGTTTTTTGGCGGGTTTGACGATAAGAAGCAGGAAAGAAAAGCACAAGAATAAGTATTCGGTATTATTGGAGAAGACGAGAAAAATCATCTTGAAATTCACCTTGTCCACCATTGATTTCCTTGACCAGCTCCGCGATCCTAGAAGCAGGCCCTGATTTCAATCCATAACTTTTAAGTTTTTTTGACGTCAAGCCGAGAAAGTCTGCACCACTAACTTTTTGATTACTGATTATGGCAAGGTCATCATTGTCAAGGTCTAAGTTTAAATCATCTTTTTGTAAGAAAGTGATTACGTTATCCATATTCCCATTTTTTCTCTATATCATCGACCGAAGGGAGTGTCATTTCTGTCATTTCCAAAATTTTTTTTATAGAAATTCGATTCACACAAGCAAATGTATGAAAATCGAGATTATCGCTCAGATTTATTAGATTTATTGATTGGCTAATCAATTACGTCTTAAACAAGAGAAGTCATATCAAAGCATGTTGTAGAAAGTTGTAGAAAGTTGTAGAAGTATTACGCACAGAAATCCGTGACGTACGCATCATGTGTATGATCTCTGATTTTTAAGGTTGTACGATAACCTAATGTACACAGTGTTGGACTATGACCCAGAATGACCATTATGACTAACTTACGTTTCTGTTCATCAGTAAAAAATGTTGAATTATGAAAAAATCTAACAATTCGTATCACCTCTTTAGAAATTCTTTGATGTAACTCAGATTCCTTGAATATTTCCCCAAAAATCAAATTCATCTGATGAGCCATATATGGTAAAAAGATTTTAGATGGATATTTTCTTCGTAATTGACGCCTAATATTAAAATAATATATAAATATTAATTAAATTTAAAAGAATAAATATTATAATAAATATATAATTTACCAAGCAGCAGCATATTCTCCCGCCAAATCTGAAATAAAAGCCTTAATATTGATATGCCCTTCATTAGCATCGGTCATTAATTTTTCGATATGCCTAATAACATCTTCTGTTTTGGATCTTTCGGCACTTATATCATATGCGCCCCAAATTAATGGTTGACCTGATGTAGTTAAAAATACCACTCCCCATATGTGCTCTTGTTTCACATTCGTCCAACCATCAAATGTAGCAGTTACACCATCTTGATCACTTTTAGAAATTTTAATTATATTTTTTTGTAATGTTTCGGAGTATTTAGTTATAGCTTTTCGTTTTGATAATATAACTCCAGGCGCAAGAAATTGAAAAATGGCAATAGTTTCTTCATTTCAACAAATGTAAAAGGTAAACCATTTGATACAACTAGACGAAGTAACATTATCTCAAATAATGAATAATCATTTGTTAATAATGATCGACGGTAAAAATTGGTTATTGATGATTAATTTGAAAAAGAAGAGAATTGTGTTATAGATGAAGAAGCTGTTGAAAGTCTTCATCGTTTAGAAATATTATTTTCTTCTATAATATTAAATTAATTAATCAACAAGAATATATAAAATCAAGCATATAAATAAAATTCTATATACCATTGTTATCGTCATCACTTGATTTTTTACATTTTTTTTTATCCTCTGGTACTGATAAAGCTAGAATCCTTTGTACTTCTTCATTGTCTACATATTCACGAAAATTTGGACATTTTGCTAAGTGGTTACGGCAAAGGCGTGCTCGATTTACATTAAAACATTCAGGTTTAGTTTGAGCCGCTCCTATACCACCGTGCTTAGTTATACAATAATTACATATAGCTAAAGCATTTGAGGAATTAGGAATTTTTTATTAATACAAAAAAAGGTCAAAAATTATGTTGCTGCCTTGTCATTTTCAAGGAAATTAATGAAAATATGTGATATTCAAAACCGAAAGTACGATTTAAAAGTAAAACGTCAATGCATTTAATGTGTATTACAAGATTTTATTGGTAAGGTCATATGACTAATGACCATATGTCATTTGTACATATGACCACGGTCATATAAAAATTTCTATATGACCTGGTCATTGTCCATCACTATTTATTCCTTTTATAGTTTTTATAGTAATGTTTTTCCAAAAATAGTGTTTTATATAATAAAATATTAGAAAATCTCAAAAAAATAAGCAAAGAATAAAATTAACAAAGTTGCGAATTTGCAAAATTTCAAATTTTCTAATACATTTAAATGGTGCCAACTTCAGTTTATTTATATTTTAAAATTTTTTCAATAGAAATGAATAGAACTACTTTATTAAAAATGTGCAATAATACATTATTTGAAAGCAACAAATTCCTATTTATCATAAACAAATGCCTCAAAATGTATACTTTGTAGCATAATTTCATGTGCATTTTCAATTTGAATTCCTTTGTAATCTTCTTGAATTAATCTAACTGCTGCCTCAGAAATAATGAAGAACTTCCTACAAATTCAAAGTTTCAGTGATTATAACAGCACCATAAGGTCCATAATAACCAGGCTAATTTGTTAATTAGTAATAGATTATTGTTAATTATAGAATATAAATGCATAAAATTAAATAAAAAATATGAGTTATCTGAAAATTCTCAATTCTATTTAGGGATGCCAACGGTCGGTTCAGTTCAGGTTTGGTTTTAAAATCACAGTTTTCAGCTGAAACTAAACTGACTGCAAAACTGACCGATAAAACTGAATTGCAAAACCGATCGCAAAATTACTGCAAAATTGAATGAACTAATGTTAAAAAGTGTTAATTATAATTTTATTTGATAATATTCCTTAAAATTATAATTTTTTTTATGATAATAATGTCAATTTTGCGATTTTTTTCAGCAGAACAAAAAATCACGTGATCAATGCATAAAAAATTTTCTTATTATTTCAAAAATAAGAATACTATATATATAAATAAACACCAAAATCATAATTTTTAATAGTATTCTCAATATAATTAATGAAAAAAACATTCTTTTTTTTTGGAATATATGATTAACTGATTGGTTTTTTTATCAGTTTTTTTATATATAAAACTGACAGTTAACCAGTCAATCTTGGACTGAAACTGAACCGTAACTGAACTGATAAAAACTGGTTATAATCAGTTATAACCGAACTTTTGGCATCCCTAATTCTATTCATAATACTCATAGATATATTAGCTTTATTCTTTTTAATTTCATGATATACTCTCATAACATTTTCACAATAAACACTTTTAATCTTCTTTTTACAAATATCTAACAAATCAGATCAGAAATTTTCAACTCTTTTAGAAATAGCACTAAAATCTATATTCATTAAATAACCTTTTTCAATACCATCAGTGTAATTTTTGTTTCTGCTATATAGATATGATAAAATTCAAATTGTTCTAATATTTAGCCATTTATGACTAAATAATATAATTATATTATTTAGTTATAAACAGCTTAGATTAGATTATTTAGTAATAAAATAATAAGTATGACTAAATAATCTAAATATAACTAAATAATCTAAATATAACTAAGTAATCTAAATATAACTAGTTAATAATTTAATTATGATTAAATAATCTAATTAAATAATCTAATTGTGATGATTTTTTATACCTACAGTCAACTCTCTTTATAGTCACACATTTGGGACAGTCCATATTTGGTGATTATAAAGAGATGTGACTATATAAAAAATTTCTTATATTTGTATATCATAATTCCGGCCAAAAATTAACATAATTTTAGCCAGAATTATACTTAAAACTTTATTGTATCGTAACTTCGCCAATATTAATCGTAGAGAGATGATCTTACCGCCATTCGATTCGTCTTGATGAGACGGTTCTAATGGTATAAAATACATCGAAATCCAATCACTAGATTAATTTCCGAAATTAAAAAAATATTAATGGTTTTTGTGTAATAACTCCGCCAATATTGATCCTAGAGAGATGATCTTACCGCCATTCGATTCGTCTTGATGAGACGGTTCTAATGGTATAAAATACATCGAAATCCAATCACTAGATTAATTTCCGAAATTAAAAAAATATTAATGGTTTTTGTGTAATAACTCTGCCAATATTGATCCTAGAGAGACGATCTTACTACCATTCGATTCGTCTTGATGCGACGAATCTAATGGTATAAAATACATCGAAATCCAATCACTAGATCAATTTCCGAAATTAAAAAATATTAAATAGTTTTTAAGTAGTAACTCCGTCAATATTGATCATAGAGAGATGAGCTTACCACCATTCGATTCGTCTTGATGAGGCGATTCCAACGAGCTATTAATCGTCTTTTTACAATCACTAGGTACCGAGATATTTAGCAAAATGTTAAATGGCGCAGTAAACGTAAATCAAGGAATATAATAATGCCGATGCTTAACATTTTTTTGAATAACTCATCTGCCAGTGATCGTAAAAGGATAAAACTACCACCATTCGATTCGTCTCAGTGAGACGATTCTAACAAGCTATGGTACATCTTTGTACGATTATTAGATGCCAAGTTGTTTAATATATTCTTTATATAACTGTGATTATAAACGGTTCTTTTTAATATAAGATTTTTGAAGATAGGTGTGATAGTGACTATAGATAGATTGTGACTATATAGGATAGATTTTAATAATAAAGTGTTTTGAACATTCAACTGGTGTGACTATATAGTAGAATGTGACTATAACTGGAGTGACTATAGAGGGAGTTGACTGTACCTATTTTTCTTATTATATTTCTTGCCTTTGAAATTAAATTTCTTTTCCCATTTTCTATTTATCATTTGTGATCATGTGATTAAATAATCTAATTATGACTATGACTAAATAACCTGAATGTGCCTATTTTTATTAGTGTTTGCAATATTATAAATACTTTCTGATATAATTTATGTTGATTATGTTCTACAGCCTTTTCATTACCAATTTGATACCTTCTTGTTTGTATTTATTTCTACCTGTTTGGAAGTTAGCTTTTATATTGGAAATACTGGCCTTCTATGCCAGTTTAGACTTTAGATGCTGGTTCTTTATTGAAGGTGTGGCCTATTTGGTTGCCTTTCTAGATGCCAAAATGTGGTAAAAAAATTGTGTCAGATAGCGCAGTAATTTGATGTAAATCTGTGCCTAAATTTGGCCAGCACTATGGCATTATTCAGGCTAATCTTTAGGATATATGATTTGGAAGATCTAAGCTGGTACCATGGTAGTGACCTGGCAGCTCCTGGAATTATCATGGAACTGGCAGGATTTTTATTAGTTCACCAGTTTCAAGCCAGCTTAAATACCAAGTTATTATAATACCCAAAGTTCTGGCTGAAATTATATGTAATGTCCAGTGATTATAATTACTGCATCAATTTTACAATCCAACTTGATTGTCAGTATAAGAGGCATACCAGAAATCAGCTGATTTCTCTCAATTAGTAGCCTTAACCCCTCACTCCTACCTGATTGAAATCTGATTGGCTAAAAAAATTATTACTATTAAATATTAAATATTATACATAATAATTAGTATTATATAATTATCTTAGCTTCTAGTGATTCAATTTGAACAAACTTTTTTTTGTTTTGTAAAGCTAGATTTGTAGAACTAAATAAGAGCTATAAATTAAAAAAAAGGTTATTAAAATTGGATCACTAGAAGTCAAAATAATTGCATTATAATAATTATTATAATGTAAATACAAATATCTTGGCTCAATTTGAACAAACTTTTTTTTTGTTTTGTAAAGCTAGATTTGTAGAGCTAAATGAGAGCTATAAATTAAAAAAAAGTTTATTAAAATTGGATTACTAGAAGTCAAGATAATTGCATTATAATGATTTTAAATTACTTTAATATTTATATTTAGATATATAAATGTCACATGATATATATAGACCTGATTTGAAGCTTGACTCCCCCACCCTCTTTCAAATCAGCTGATTTCTGGCATACCCCTAAAAGTTTATGAAAGTCTACCGATTTTGAAAGAGGAATCGGTTATGTATCTTTCTTCATAGCAGTCATAGAAATGATATTTATAGTTTACACATTACATTTCACATTCACATTTTACATTTACATTCACATGTTCACATTCACATTTTATGTTCACATTCACACGTTCACATTCATATTCTTACACTTACACTTTTATTTTTTAGAATTAAAAAAACAAAAGACTTTTTATTGTTCAGTCTAGCAATTTGTTTTTATTAGAAGAAAACATCTGAATGGTGTTAGTAATGGCAAAATTAAAAACCTTTTATCAGATATTATCCAAATGGAAAATTGTCATATACTAAAGTGCAAGAGTAAAACTTACAATCATATACATTTCAAGACTGAGAATAATACTGAATTATTTTTTTAACGTGTTCAAAGACAAACCTTTGAATTCGAATATAATAATGATTTTAGCAAAATTAAAACAATTCAATTAAATTTTTTTTGTCAAAAAAATCTGAAAGCAATAACCATACTATTTATAAGATTCAGGTAATACGATTAAATTTTCATTGGTGTGATTTACATTTTCATTTACTGTACATATGTACTATATTTTTTTTAGAATAATGAATCACAAACTAACATCTCAACCAAAAACACTACCAGTATCACAACCGCTAGTAACAGAAACATTAAAAGCACTACCAATACTAAGGACATTAAAAGTAATACCAACGCCAAGAACAATGATAACAGCACTACTAGTATTATAACTGTCAGTATCAGAAACATTGAAAGCACTACCAATACCAGGAATATCAAAAGTAATACCAACACCAAGAATAACGATAATAGTACTACTAAACCAGGCATTGGGAACAGCAACTTTGGTGACATTTTAACAGGACCCCGGATATCTCCAAAACAGGTCATAAGTCACACTTTCGGCAGATTGGCCCATTTTTCAGGGGCTCAAAAAATCGTTTTTTGAGTTTCAGCAAAAAGGGGTGTTTTTGGCCAAAAGTCCATTATAACCTTTATATTAGATATCCGGGGTCCTATTTTAACCAGCAATTCAACCAATAATGATTTGAGGTTTAAAGGTGTTGATTAACTTTTAAGAAGTTTTTTTAACATTAAAGAAGACAAAATAATAAAATTCAAAAATATTCCTGGTTATTATTTTCTCCAACTTATTAACAAGAAAAAGTTTATAAAAAAGCTGTTTAAACTGGACTATATTTTAGCAAAAAATATTACTAAATTAATCAACAGATTAAATCACATTCTTTTAGCTGAAAAAAACTTAGTGTAATTAATATGTCTTTTGAATTAGTTGTAAAACTTGCTAAGGAAATTGAGCAAGAGAAAGTATATAATTTCAAGAATATGGTTTAATAAATTCTCTTACTATCAATAAAAGTAAATAAATAATTAGTATATTCAATTTATATAAAATAAGACCTGTCTGTTATCAGAAGTAGCGACCAATATATAAAAAATTGTTTAATGAACTAGTATATAAGCCATAATCATATAATTTGAATATATTTAATTAGAAGATTTCTTGCATTCATTCAGAGTCCTGCTGTATATTTAGCTTTATTATTCATAGTCGAGTTATCAGATAAAAATATTTTTTATTTTGTCATTCAAAAAAAATAAAAATTGTACTGTAAGTTATGTAAAGTATTAATTAATTCTGATTTAATTTGATTTATTTATAAGGTTATTAATTTAGAGATCAAAACTTTTAGATACTTAGTTAACAAACTCCTTAATCTTTTTTAAAATAATAATTTCTGGATTCTGGTCATATCATACCTTAATAAGAAAAATTCCATTATCTAGATAAATACATTTTTTTTGCCGATCACAATTAACAATGTCTTCAAGTTTTTTGGTATCTTTATATATATCAGCTGATAATATAAAACTGATGCTGAACCTCTTGCATTTCCAAATTCCAATACAATTTGATAATTTTGGAAAAAGGTATCAAGCTCTAATTAGGGATCGGAAAAGATTCGATTAAAATCGTATCTATCGAAAATCGATAAGAATCGATTTTAAATCGATTATCGAATAAAAATCGAATCTACCTATTGTGGCGCAGTATCGTTAATAAATGTTTATTAATGACCGTCATCATGTTACACTGAAAATGTTAAATTTTAAAACGGATTATTATGCTGATCATTTGTTCATTATTCTGTGAAATTGATCATCATTACATAAATAATTCTCACGCTCTTTAAAAAAAATGGCAACTACTACACGAAGTAAACGTAAACAAATGGAACAAATGACCAAAGAAGCAGAAGAAAATTTAATACAGGAAGTAATAGAAGTGAATGAAAGTGACTTGGACTCTAATACTGAAACTAGTCATTTAGTAATACAAGAAGAAAGTGAAATTGATCCTGATTATGAAGTTGAAGATAGTCATGTGTTATTACAAGATATTACTACACTATCTGTTGATATTTCTAATATAAATATTGATGATCTTGAAGCAGAATTTTTAGAAATTAGCAAACAGTCAAAACAGCCACCAATTAAGACTACAAGACCAAAAACAAGTTGGGTATAGAAGTTCTTTGAACTCAATAAAGATAATAGTATAAAGGCTTTATGTCAAATAAGTGGTTGCAGCAAGATGCTCAAATGGTGTGGTTCACCAAGCTCATTATCAACTCATTTATCAGGTACACATGGTATTACCAAAGATATTGCTATGAAATGTAATGAAGAAGAATTAAAAAATTCACCTGGATCTTCTATTATACCACATAATTATCCTGTTCAAGAATCTCTAACTAAAAATGTCATAGGATTTGTTGTTGGAACAGTACAACCTTTAAGTATTGTAGAAGATCCAGATTTTATTAAAATGATAAATGGATTTGACAACCGTTATAAAATTCCCTGCACAAAAACCCTTAAAGATAGGATCTCAAAAACATTTGAAGTAGGAAAAGATACACTTAAGAATCAACTTACACAGGTAGAATATATTTCTTTAACATTAGATGCCTGGAGTTCACCAGCACATTTACCCTACCTAGGTGTTACTGCACATTGGATAACATCTGATTTTGAACCATATGAAGTACTACTTAGTATAGAAGAATTACCATATCCACATGGTGCAACTGAGATTCAGGAACATTTAATTGATTTGTTTTATGAATGGGGAATTGAATCAAAGATAACTGCAGTGGTAACTGATAATGGTTCAAATGTTAAAAAAGCATGTAATGAAATAGGAATTGGTGAAAGAATTCCCTGCAGTGCCCACACACTTCAATTAAGTATTGGAAAGGGGTTAGATAAAATAAAGCTATTAGTTGATAAATGTAAACGTCTTATTATTTTTTTGGCAGGAGATAAGAAAAAACAACAGTTAAAAGAATCCCAAATTCATTTATATCGACAAGAAATATTACAAGATGATGAATTGGAAAAGGAAGTTGAAAATCTTATTTGTCTTGATGTTATAAAAGTAAACAACACACGATGGAATTCAACACTATATGCTTTTCAAAGACTCATTATTCTTAAATCAGCAATTGCTATGTTAAAGACCACCTTAATGAATAATACAAACTTAAATATTTGTAAAGAAGGCGAAAAATTAGAAGAATTGTATCCAACAGTTTATGAGTGGAAAGTTATTAAAGAAATGATAAAACTTTTAAGTCCTTTTGAAGCTGCAACACGTCTTTTAAGTGGTGTAAAATATCCAACTATTGGTTTCACATATCCATGCATATGTAATTTAAAAGATAGACTTGAAACTGATTTTACTTCATTGGAAACTATGGATGCAAAGCATTGCAGAAATGCAATGTTAGAAGATTTAACATTAAGATGGAATTATCCTCAAGAATTATGCCTAAAAGGATCTTTTTTTGACCCTCGCTTCAAAAGTTTAGATTTTATTAATTCTCAAGAAGAATGTAATAATATTGTTAACCAGTTAAAAGAAGAGTTCATGATCTTTAAGCATAATGAACAAAGTGATATTTCTATAATATCTGAAAAGAATACAGATGAATTAAGGACAGAAATGGCTAGTTTTTGGAAAAAAAAGAATACCAAAGTTGCACCAATAAAGGATGAATTCCAACATTATTTTGATGTAGCAGAATTACCTGCTCTTGAAGAATATGATCCTTATTTATGGTGGTCAACAAACAAAAATCAATATCCAGTATTACACAAATTAGCAATGAAGTACCTTTCCATACCTGCTACTTCAGTACCATCAGAAAGGCTTTTTTCTGATGCCAAAAACTTAATTACTCCTCAAAGAACCCGTTTGAATTCATTTATTATTAACCAGCTCATGTTTTTGAAAAGAAATAGAGAATATATTGATATATATGAGTGAAAGATATCTAATTATCAAATTTTTTGACAAATATACATAGGCAAGAACTAGTTTACTTTTAGTTTAGTTTTTAGCAATCTTTCATAGTGAAGTGAAAAGTGCTACTTTTTTTTGAGACAGTAAAAGGTGCTAGGTGCTAATGAGGGAGGATTTATTCAAACTCCAGATTGCTTTTAAGTTTTTGTAATTTCTTTGTCATATAAGAAATAAAGTTTATTATCATTTACCACAAAAAAAAAAAAAATATTTTTTTGAGAGGTGAAAAGAGGATAAAAAAAAATGAAAGGGATAAAAAGGAACGAAAAAAAATGAAGGAGAGTGAAAAGGAATGAAAAAAACAAAGGGAAGCGAAAGGAACNTTTATAATGATATTAATAATAATTTATTAATTAAAGATACGTTTTATTGATTAAAAATATAAATATTAACAATTTTTATTTATTTATTTATTTATGGAAATAACAGAAATAATGAAAATAACACGAAGAGAATGTGCAATAACAAAAAAAATAAGAAACAAAATATAATGAAAAAAATAATGAATGAAGAACAACAAAAGGAGTGAAGGGAAGAACAAAATAAATGAAGAGGAATAAAAAGTAATGAAAGAAACAAAGGTGGAGTAAAAAAAATGAAAGAAGCAAAAGAGAGGTGAAAAGAGGATAAAAAAAAATGAAAGGGATAAAAAGGAACGAAAAAAAATGAAGGAGAGTGAAAAGGAATGAAAAAAACAAAGGGAAGCGAAAGGAACAAAAGAAAATGAAGGCCTTTATAACATATTTTCAGCCCACTTAAAGACAAAAAAATTCACCAACTTCTCTGTCAATTTCTAATCATTTGCATACGTGATATCAAAACTTATTTTTGGAAGGAACAAACAAAAGTCTAGAAACAGTAGAAACTCGATCATGGTCTAACAAAACAAGACTTCAAGAATAATTGTAAAACACGGGGAGTGAAAAGGAGTAAAAGAAACGATCGATGAGCGAAAAGGAACGAAAAAAAATGAAGTGGAGTGAAAAAGAAATGAAAAATTAAGGAAATAAAAGTAACAATGGAAACAAAAGATAAAAAAATAGTAGGGAATAAACAAATGAAGGAAACCAACCAACCAAGTAAAAACCATAAAATAAGTTAGTAAGAAACAAAATATGATAGACAAAATAAAAAAAAATAATAAAATAAAATAAAAAAAAAGAACACACCGAGAAGAACCAAGGACCTAAAAGAAAACAAAATAAAGTTAGGAAGGAAATGTAAGGAACAAAATATAAGAAATGACAAAACAAAAAAAACAAAAACTTCAAAAATCGTGATTATGTAATACTAAACACACCTTAATTGCAAAGAGCAAAAGACTGAAAGGAGTAAGAACTTAAAGAGAATAAAATAAAGTTAGCAAGAAATAAATATAAAAAACAATAAAAGAAAAAAAAAAAGAAAAACATACCAGCTGTGCGAAGGGTTTAAAGTTGGGAAAGTACTAGAAATAATAAACAAATAAACATTTATTGATGATGACATAATCGCGTAACCAATTAAAAACGTGGGTGTGATCGGTGGATTTGACATTCTCAAATTATATTACTTTTAATTGAATAAATTCATCAAAATATAAAAATTTTATCATTATAAATAATCTTTTAAGTATTTGCACCGTAATTTGTATTTTTTGTGAAATATAAATTCGATTAGTTTCGATTATCAAAAATCGAAAATCGAATCTTAAAATCGATATTTGCGAAACGATTAATCGCGATTAATCGATTTTAAAATCGATTCCAATAATGGGAATCGATTCCAATCCCTAGCTCTAATCCATTCAAGAAAGAAGGACAATACTCAATTATTAGCTTCTCATTAAGAATTTTCTTAGCTATCTGGATAGAATCCTGAATAATACTAATATAACTCACAAGTAAACTTTAAGTACTGAAGTAAAAATACATTTTATGATATAACTCTGTTAATATTGAAGCTATGAATTCGATTTTACTATCATTAGAATCCTCTTATCAAGATAAATCTAATGATATACTAAATTTTATTAAAATTAAATTACTGGTTGTGTTAAAAATAGGGATATGTAGGATAACAAAATTTTGAAAATACTTTTGTAATACGTAACTTTTGAAAAATTTTAATATAAATTCTATGTAAACTCAAATGTAAGTTGTATCAGTATTGTTCAGGTCCTATCTGGATACATCTAGTCTGAAATTTGCGATTTTTCTTGGATTTCAGTTCCTTTTCATATTCTTCTATAATTGATTTATTCTTTATGTTCTGAGTCTTAATCTCAAGAATTAAAGCCTCAATACTCTCAAGATGGTTCAGATGTTGTGAACTAAGATATTTTAATTTTACTATATAGGGTCTTTGGTTCTTTGCAATAGAAAAGTACGAAACTCAAAAAATATCAAAAATTGAATTAATATTAAGTTTACAGTCTAACCTCGATATACCGATATTCGATATACTGATATACTATTAAAAACTTGATATACCGATAAAATTTTATTTTCCCACTATATGTGAGGACATATAAATATCGGTATAACTTTGATATAACGATATTTTCTAAAAATTTCATATATGTCCTGACATATTGTTATATAAAGGTTTGACTGTACATTTATTTTAGTAAAAAAAACATAATTAGTATATAAAGTAAAATTAAAATTTTTTTTGAGTTTCGTACTTTTTTATTGTAAAGACCTCATATAACCCTCAAAATCTGTATAACATTTTTTGATAGATTTTAGAAACTCAACTTTTTTGGTCTCAAACTCAGTTTTCTTAGCCTTAAGTTCAGCATTCTCAGCTTTAAGTTCAGTGATACGTTATTTTAATACTTTAAGTTCAGATGACATGATTTATATAAAACTAATTCACTATATATAAGCATTTAAAATAAAAAAATACATGTTTTTCCTTACAACCTGTAAGCAAAATTTGCCAAGAAAAATTTTTTATTATTACATATGAAAAAGAAATACAAAGATTAGGACATTGTTCGTGATATATGACTAAAATCTATCTTATGATTTGCACACAAAATCATTCCTTAATCCTTAATAAATTTTTTTATCCTTGCTTTCTTACTATCCAGAGAATCATCAACTTTGATCCTATTCTTCAATAAGCTAACAATTACCTCTATGATTTTTTTAATATCACAGTGAAGTTCTGCATCATCTTTCATTATTTTCTCATTAAGTATTATGTGATAGTCATTTTTCGAGCAATAGATTTTTTCTAGTATGTGTACCAGTCTAAGGCTAAACAAATAAAAACATGAGTTAGTATATACAAACAATTGATAAAAAAAAATCACATGCCATAATACTTTCAGCTAAGCTCTATCTATGATTACAATTCTATAGAGATAGTCAAACTCATTGAATACTACAGATACTTTTCTTTTTCTCATATTTATGTGGTGTGAGCTTTCAAGTTGCATTATGTTCTACATAAATCCTACTACCAAATCCTTTTGTTTTTCCTCTATTATAGCTATCAATTCCTTATTGACAACATCTATGATTTTTTTAATTGCGTAATCGACTTAGCTAGATACTTCTTCACCTACAACTTTGAACTGGAGGTTTATGATAATTCCTTTTTTAGTATTTTTTTGGCAATATAGATAGATGTATATAATATTGGAGAAATATATTCATAATGCATAGCCTCATTCCTGCCCATTGTCAAACTTATAATTTCTCATTCTACATTTTATTTCTGTTATACATTACTCCAGCTCTTCGTCTTCATCGTCAATTTCTACAGGTTCTGGCTTAAAGAATGGAATTTTTGTTATTTCATTCAGTTATATTTTCAAATTCATAAATAAATAGTAAAATATTATTATTAAATATTTATTAATTATTCATTTTAAAATTGTGAAGTTTTAGAAAAATATACATATTTTACACATGAATTATATCTAAATTGTAGTTACCCTTAATATTTCATCATTAAACTACTAAAAGACTTTTTACTAGTTTTTTATTTGTTATCTGTTCTATCTTAAATCTAATCATACTAATCTATAAATAAAACTAATTATTCAATAAACATAGATATAAATTTTCCTATAATGTTAAATTCTATTAATAATATTTTTTTCAAAATTTTTAAAACTTACTAGAATTCTGGTATTCTTATATTAGGAGCCATTTAAAATAAATAAATAAATAAATAAATAAAGACTATTTAATATGTAATATTAAAAATGTTTTTAAAAACAAAGTCTTTAAGAATATTCTGAAACATACCTCCAGATTCTGGTAACAAAAGTGGAGCTGGTATCTTATAAAAGAAATGATATTAAAATATCTTTTTAAATTTAGTTTTGAAATTATTTTGAAATTCACATAATTTTGTTGTAAAGTTCTAAGATTTTCACTTTTTGGTACTTATCTTTAATCTTACTTGGTTTAATTTAACTTTCATAATACCATATGAAATTCAAAATGTACCTCTATTATCGATATTTAAAAAGAAAAAAATGAAACAATAGTAAAATATTTTGCAAAAAAAAAATAATTTAAAAAAAACTTTTCATTGAAATCTTATCTTTTATCTAGAAAAGTTACTTAAACAAAAAGAATTAAATTCAAAAAACATATAATCCCAATTTTTTTTCCCATGTATTCATCCTATCAAAAAAAAGATAAAATTTAAAATGTTAACATATAAAATGTCATATAGGAGACTGAGAGAGCTACCTAAAAAAAAAAGAAAAAAATTAAAATATTATAACTCTTTTTTAAATAAAATATGAGAGAAGAAGTAAAGGATAAAAGAAGAAAAATGAAATTTATTTTTTATAAAAAAAAAATTAAAAATATAATAGTTAAAAAGAGTTTTTTAACAAAAAAAAAAATTTTTTTTTAAAAAGATATAAGACAATGAAAGGAAGAAGAAATGATGATAAAAATGAAAAAAAGAAATGGAAGAAAATGAAAGGTAAAGAGCGAAAGGAAAGATTTTCATTGGAAAAAAAAGTTTAAAAGTTAAAAATAGTTTATTTTTATATTAATGATTGCTAAGTTAAAAAAGTTTAGATTACTATATAATATTATGTGTATCATATGATACATAAGGCTTTTTCTGATGTTAAAAATTATAAAAAATATAAATAAAATAAATTGGCAGATTGGCAGATTTGCAGATTCATTGCTAAATTATATTTAATACATCTAAAAAATATCTTAAATTAATTTTACTACTAATTCTTGATGTTATTTATTACCTATTTACCACCTATTTACCACTTATTTAATAGCATTTTACAACTTCATAAAGATATGTTATCAACAATTTTACGAGATTGCTTGATACCATGTCATCACATGTTAGCTAATAGATTGTTGTGATTTGATGGTGATTTCTTAACTGAATGGTAACAAATCACAGGTTTCTGCAAAGTATATATTGTATACTTTAAAAATATACTGTATATTGTCTATTTTGTAATATTTTCACCCTATAAAAAATTTTTATCTGAATATTTCCATCATTTCTTTGTGTCTTCCATAAAAATTCCGTGAAAATGATACATTCACAGATATCTGTGTTAGCGAGATGAAAATTTCCATGATTTAAGGTTATTAATTCCATGAAAATGATACATTCACGGAAAAAACATGGAAAGATAAACACGGATCAGATTTTTTACAGGGTCACAGGCTATTATTATATTATTTCATAAATCATTTTTTATTAAATTTTAATTTTTTTACCTTAAAAATCCAAATTTTGGGTTAAAATTTGAAAACAAGTTTTATATAAGTAATTAAATGAAAACAAAGTATTAATATACTTCATATAAAGTTAATTTATTCTAATAATTTTAAAGATTTTTTCTTATTACCGGGGGTAATGATCACCGGTGACTGAAATTATGATGATCGACCGGCATTAAAAAAATATAGTGCCGGTAAAAATTGATAATTCTGGCCAACGGTGATGATAAATAAAATAAAATAAAAGAAAACTGATATTCAAGAAGTTTATAATTCAAATTAAAACTTAGCCAGTTGGACAATTGGATGCAATTGGTCTATATCCAAAATTTACTTATTTAATAATCAAAATAATCAAAAACTTTTTATTTTAAATATCCACCATCTGTTTTTTTATAAAAGGATAATTAATTTGCGTAAAATAAAAAAAAAGTTAACATATGTATATAAATAATTATAATTTTTTTACCTTCATATGTTCTTCTTGGTATCTAGCACCAATGATTTCAATAGAATTAATAATTTGCCTAATTTCAGATAATTCTTCAGGAGTAAGATGAATTTTTGCTGCTTCGAAATTTTCTTCTAAATATTTGATTTTTCTTGTACCGGGAATAGCAACAATATTATCTCCCTATAAAAATATATAAAAAAAAGAATGCATTAGTAAAATAACATACTATTGTCGTAATTGTTAAAAGATATTATAATTATATTACCTGAGCTAAAACCCAAGCTAAACAAAGTTGACTTGGAGTTACACCTTTCTTATTCGCAAATTCTTCAAATTTACGTACAATTTCTAAGTTTTTATTGAAATTTTCACCTTGAAAACGTGGAACTGCTCTTCTAAAGTCGTCCGGTTCAAAATCATCAATAGATTTATATTTTCCCTAAAAATGAATTAGAGAGTTATAATATTATTTTTTACCAATAATATTTTTAAAAATAAGGAATAAATGGATAAATACAGTTAAAAACCCGCGTCCAAGTGGACTATACGCTACTATAGTAACTCCTAATTCGCGACAAGCTTCCATAATTCCATTTTTTTTAATATCAATAGTCCAAGGACTATATTCCATCTTAAAAAACGATATTTAATAATTTTAAAAGTTTAAAAAAGTATTCATTTATTTTTTTTTTTTTAAAAAAAAGAAATATTATTAGTTTTTTACTTGAATTGCGGCAATAGGATGAACTTTATGAGCACGTCGAAGAGTTTCTGCAGAACATTCAGAAAGACCGATATATTTTACTTTTCCTTCCTTAACAAGTTCTGCTAAAGCACCAACAGTATCTTCAATAGGTCTGCAAAAATGCAAAACGAGTAGGTTATTATTAATTCTTAACAAATATAAAAAAAACTCAATACTTACGTATTGGGATCCATACGATGTTGATAATAAAGATCAATATAATCAACTCCCAATCTTTTTAAAGATTTTTCACAAGCTTGACGAACATATTCAGGTTTACCCGATACACCTAAAAATGCGCCATTTGAATTTCGAAGTGAACCGAACTTTGTACAAAGAAATACTTTATCACGTTTGTCTTTAAGGACTTTTGAAAGAAGAATCTCATTTGCTCCATTTCCATAAATATCCTTTACACGTAAAAAAATTTGCAATACGCCATTTTTATTATTATTATAATTAGAGTTAAAATTTCAAATTATTAAAAGAGGTTAAATACGAACAGAAGTATCCCAAAAGGTAGATCCTAATTCAATTGCTCGGTTCAACACATTAATATTCTCCTGTTCATCAGCTGAACCGTAAAACTCACTCATGCCCTTCAGATCAAAGAAATTATTACAACAACATTAAAATCACATAATTAGTAAATAAACATTACAATGCTTTAAATATACCATGCATCCTAAGCCGATTGCGGAGATTTTTACACCAGTTTTACCAAGTTCACGAAGAGACATTTTCTCAAAAAAAAAAAGCAATTTTTTAAAAAATAAAATCAATAATTCTTTAAGCGTATTTATCTAATTCAATTATCTCGAATTTTTTAAGGGAAAATGTTTTTGTAACTATTAATAATCCTAACGGAAGATTCCAGAATAGCCATAAATTATAAATAATTATTAATACTACTCTCTGAGAGTATTACTAATGTTTAAAAGAGCCGCGTTATTTACTGCGGATAACATAAAGAAACTTTCGCGCAGTAAGGTCACGAATAGAAATTACAATATAGTTATGTCATTTGTACTAGCTAAACTTGTTCAGTTATTTATGGTTCATTGACATTATCACGTGAACATCACATACCTAAACAAGTTAAGAGATACCTGATACGAATTTAAGTGTATTCGGCTAAAAACATTTCCGTGAAACTTTGATAATTAATTCTTTACTATAATCGGAACGAAGCGATTGTGTTAATTTCTATTAGATTCCAATGGCATTCTTGGCATTCTTGACTCTTATAATAGTGGGTTCTCATTCACCATGTTTCAGTCAGTGATCAAATTAGTACATGCATCATAATCTGTTGAAACATTAGTTAAAGAGATTTTTTCTCTTTAAAAAAGGTTAAAAAGGGGGTCTGGGGGGTACTTGTTGCATGTCTAATCCCAATTCCCAGAACTTCTTCTACTAATACTTTAAGAGATGTTTGCCACCAGAATTTTATCGCCAAAAATAATAATGATGTGAAGTCTAAACAATATAATATAATTTTTTTTAAAAAAAATAAATAAATAACTTACAGCACAATCATAATCAAGAGTTTGAATAACATTAAATTTTCTTTCATACAAGAAAATTAACATTACTTATAAAAAAGAGATAAAAAAAAAAATCAATTCAATAAAACTTCTTATTTCAAAATAAATGTCTTAATACCATTTCTAAATTAGTATGATTTCAGTCATTTCATACTAAAGTGTTATATAATCCGAAAATATTTCGGCTTAATGCATTCAATGTATTCTCCATTAATTTAAATCTATAATAATTTACAATACTAATATGCTAATCCTAGCAAGTGGCGACGCTTAGAAAAAAAGCAGCAAATTATATTTTATAATTCAATATATATAATGACTTACGTGATCGCGATGATGTACACGATAATTCGACATAATTACTTTTTATCTCCGTATAAGCATACGATATGGCTATATAATAGCCGTTTCACCATTCTATCGTGTGAGTATAATTCGTGGATATTTCCCGAATGATCTAATCTATTAGAACATAAAAAAAAAATCCGAAATTTTTATTTGTAAAAAAAGTTAAATCATAAACCTGCATGTGTAACCGGCAAATCCGCGTCATAGCAATTTTTTTTTAATGTAATATAAATTTAAAAAATTTTATAAAAGAAGTTTGATGTGATATCATTATACACAGTACTGCCAATGGAACTTATTGAACAGTTAAACAATTGGATGCAATTGGCCTATATCCAATTGTTCAATTGTCCAATAAGTTCAATTTAGTCAATTAGAATAAACCCAATATCAAAACTGCAAATACTATTATACATATTAATATCCTAGTGATTTAATTAATAATTTAATTTATATCTTGACAAATTTATTGAATTTATAATTTACTTAATTTAACAACTTTTTTTTTTTAAATATCCACCGTCTAATTTTTTTAATAAAAGGATAATATTAATTATGCAAAATAAAAAAAAAGTTTATATATAAATAATTATGATTTCTTTACCTTCATATGTTCTTCTTTATATCTAGTACCGATAATTTCAATAGAATTAATAATTTGCCTAATTTCAGATAATTCTTCAGGAGTAAGATGAATTTTTATTCCTTCAAGATTTTCTTCTAAATATTTAATTTTTCTTGTACCGGGAATAGCAACAATATTATCTCCCTATAAGATATAAAAACAATGCATTAGTAAATAACATATTTTCATTATGTTTTATAATGTTACAAGACATGACATTATAATTATATTTACCTGAGCTAAAACCCAAGCTAAGCAAAGTTGACTTGGAGTTACACCTTTCTTATTCGCAAATTCTTCAAATTTACGTACAATTACTAAATTTTTATCGAAATTTTCACCTTGAAAACGTGGCAGCATTCTTCTAACATCGTCCGGTTCAAAATCATCAATAGATTTATATTTTCCCTAAAAAAGAAATTAAAAATTTATTGGAGTTAAAATATTATTTTTTACAAACAATATTCTTGAAAACAAGGATAAATACAGTTAAAAACCCGCGTCCAAGTGGACTATATGCTACTATAGTGACTCCTAATTCGCGACAGGCTTCCATAATTCCATTTGTTTCAATATCAATAGTCCAAGGACTATATTCCATCTTAAAAACGATATTTAATAAATTTAAAGTTTTAAAAATCATCATTTATTTTTTTTCAAAAAAGAAAGAATATTATTAGTTTTTTTTTACTTGAATTGCGGCAATAGGATGAATTTTATGAGCACGTCGAAGAGTTTTTGCAGAACATTCAGAAAGACCGATATATTTTACTTTTCCTTCCTTAACAAGTTCTGCTAAAGCGTCAACAGTATCTTCAATGGGTCTGTAAAAGTATAAAACGAATTCTTTAATATTGCTATTCTTAAAAATATAAAAAAGAATCCTTTACTTACGTATTGGGATCCATACGATGTTGATAATAAAGATCAATATAATCTACTCCCAATCTTTTTAAAGATCTTTCACAAGCTTGGCGAACATATTCAGGTTTACCCGATACACCTAAAAATGCGCCATTTGAATCTCGAAGTCCACCGAACTTTGTACAAAGAAATACTTTATCACGTTTGTCTTTAAGGACTTTTGAAAGGAGAATCTCATTTGCTCCATTTCCATAAATATCCTTTACACATAAAAAAATTTGCAATACACCATTTTTTTTTATTATTATAATTAAAGTTAACATCTCAAATTATAAAAGAGGTTAAATACGAACAGAAGTATCCCAAAAGGTAGATCCTAAATCAATTGCTCGATTCAACACATTAATATTCTCCTGCTCATCAGCTGAACCGTAAAACTCACTCATGCCCTTCAGATTAAAGAAATTACATCAACATTAAAATCACATAATTAGTAAATAAACAATACAATGCTTTGAATATACCATGCATCCTAAGCCGATTGCAGAGATTTTTACACCAGTTTTACCAAGTTCACGAAGAGACATTTTCTCGCAATTTTTTTTAAAAAAATAAAATCAATAATTCTCTAATCGTATTTATCTCGAATTTTTTAAGGGAAAATGTTTTTGTAATCTAACTAGAATAGCTATAAATTCAGGTATTAATAAATAATTGTCGTATTAATACTATTCCCTATGAGAGTAAAATGAAGTAATTACTAATAAATGTTTTAAAAGAGCCCGCGTTATTTACTGCGGATGACGTAAAGAAACTAATTAAACGTTCCGTGCCATACTAGTTATGTCATATGTACTTTTCGTTTAGCTAAACTTGTTCAATTATTTGTGGAATAGATGTCTTCATTGACGCCACGTCACGTGAACATCACATACATAAACAAGTTAAGGGATATCTATTATATATACGAAGTTAGGTGTATTCGGCTAAAAATATTTCCGCGAAACTTTTAAACTGAACGAAGCGATTGAGTTAATTTCTATTAGATTCCAATGGCATTCTTGACTCTTATAATAGTCGGCTCTCATTCATCATGTTTCGGTCAGTGGAGTATCAAATTAGTACATGCATCATAATAGTGTTCCAATCCGAGGATATCCGTCACCATTTTATCCGATCCGATTAGAATCCGCCATCCGTTTATCCGATCTGATTAGAAATCCGTCATCCGGAATATCCGCATAAGTAACATCCGGATTATCCGGATTATCCGGATTATCCATTAATACCATTAAAATTTGTATAAGATATAATTCCAGCCGGCATTAACTGATCGTCACTGGAATGTCCTTTTTTGGATCCTTGTACGACAAGAATTCCTATATCAAAATGTCCTTTTTTGGAAATTCGTGCAACGTCACGTGATTAGGCGGGATCCGAATCATTATAAATTAAATTTGTCGGATATCCGTCGGATGAATCCGTTATTATCCGTCATCCGAGAAATCCGATCCGTTATTATCCGTCATCCGTGTGATCCGATCCGTTAATTTATCCGTTATCCGTATAACCGCCAATATCCGGATATCCGTCAAAAAATCTGGAACACTACATCATAATCTGTTGAAAACATTAGTTAAAAAGATTTTTTCTCTTTGTATGTCTAATCCCAATTCCCAGAACTTCTTTTACTAATACTTTAAGAAGTGTTTGCCACTAGTATTTTATCGCCAAAAATAATAATGACGTGAAGTCTAAACAATATAATATAATTTTTTAAAAATAAATAAATAAATATATAACTTACAGCACAATCATAATCAAGAGTTTGAATAACATTAAATTTTCTTCCATTCATACAAGAAAAATTAACATTACTTAAAAAAAAGAGATAATAAAAAAAAATCAATTCAATAAAACATCTTATTTCAAAATAGATGTCTTAATCATACCATTTCTAAATGTTTTGGTATTATTTCAGTCATTTCACACTAAAGTGTTATATAATCCGAAAATATTTCGGCTTAATGCATTCAATGTATTCTCCATTAATTTCAACCTATAATAATTTACAATAAGGTTGGTTGCCGTAAGTAATAACGATTATTATATATCGAATTACAACCTTTAGCGGTTGTAATATTTTAAAAGTAAGTTGTAAATTGGCTGTAAATACTACACTATTGTGGTTAGCTAAAAGATGGTAATTTTGATTTACAACCATTATATTTACTTGGCTTTTGGACTTACAACTATTTACGGAGACCAACACTAATTTACACTAATCCTAGCAAGTGGCGACGCTTTCCCCTGTAAACTAACTAAAGAAACTTCACAACCAATCATCACGCATCTTCGGAAAAAAAGCAGCAAATTAAAAAAAAATTATATTTTATAATTCAATATATATAATGACTTGCGTGATCGCGATGGTTGATGTACACGATAATTCGACATAATTACTTTTTATCTCCGTATAATGTAAATTATTGGGAGTGCTAGTTGCATTCTACAGCAGAGGGATGATAAGGCTATATAATAGCCGTTTCACCATTCATCCTTTCATCCTGACACCTTAATATCGCATACAAGATTATTTTATTTTTTAGGTTTGTGTTTATACATGTCTTATTTATTTTTTTCTTAGTTGATAATTAATAATAGTGCAATGAAAAATTGAAATCACGATATCATGCGAAACAAAATCAAAAAACCTTTATTTGTTCTTTGTATTAGACCTTAAAATCGGAAAATAAAATTTTATTTCGTAATATTAGTAAATAAAAATCATTATTATTCATTTTTTTTCATTTTTTTTTTTTTAAAAAAAAAGAGAGAAAATTGGAAAGAAACAAGGAACAGAGGCATCGTGTGAGTATAATTCGCCAAATATTTGTAATTTATTAGAACATACTAAATCATAACCGGCATGTGTAACCGGCAATTTAAAAAATTTTATATATAAAAATAATATGGGTTTGAACATTAAGTATAAAATAAATATTTAAATTGAAGTTTTATGTAATAAGCAAATAGAATAATATACTGAATAATGCTAGAAAAACTAATATTCAAGAAGTTTAATGTAATATCATTATACAGGGTGCAATTGGCCTATATCCAATTGTTCAATTGCCCAATAAGTTCAATTTAGTAATTGGAATAAACCCAATATCAATACTGCAATACATATTAGCACCCTAGTGATTTAATTGACAAATTCATTGAATTTATAATTTACTTAATTTAACAACTTTTTTTTTTAAATATTCACCTCCTGATTTTTTAATAAAAGGATAATATTAATTATGCAGAATAAAAAAAAAAGTTTATATATAAATAACTATGATTTCTTTACCTTCATATGTTCTTCTTGATATCTAGTACCGATAATTTCAATAGAATTAATAATTTGCCTAATTTCAGATAATTCTTCAGGAGTAAGATGAATTCTTGTTCCTTCAAGATTTTCTTCTAAATATTTAATTTTTTTTGTACCGGGAATAGCAACAATATTATCTCCCTATAAAATATAAAAAATAATGCATTAGTAAATAACATATTTTCATTATGTTTTATAATGTTACAAGACATTATAATTATATTTACCTGAGCTAAAACCCAAGCTAAGCAAAGTTGACTTGGAGTTACGCCTTTCTTATTCGCAAATTCTTCAAATTTACGTACAATTTCTAAGTTTTTATCGAAATTTTCACCTTGAAAACGTGGAAACGTTCTTCTAAAATCGTCCGGTTCAAAATCATCAATAGATTTATATTTTCCCTAAAAAAGAAATCAAAATTTATTGGAGTTAAAATATTATTTTTTACAAATAATATTTTTGAAAACAAGGATAAATACAGTTAAAAACCCGCGTCCAAGTGGACTATATGCCACTATAGTGACTCCTAATTCGCGACAGGCTTCCACAATTCCATTTGTTTCAATATCAATAGTCCAAGGACTATATTCCATCTTAAAAACGATATTTGATAATTTTAAAAGTTTTAAAAATCATGTATTCATCATATTTATTTTTTTTTTGAAATATAATTAGTTTTTTTTTACTTGAATTGCGGCAATAAGATGAACTTTATGAGCACGTCGAAGAGTTTCTGCAGAACATTCAGAAAGACCGATATATTTTACTTTTCCTTCCTTAACAAGTTCTGCTAAAGCGCCAACAGTATCTTCAATGGGTCTGTAAAAGTATAAAACGAATACTTTATTATTGCTATTCTTAAAAATATAAAAAAGAATCCTTTACTTACGTATTGGGATCCATACGATGTTGATAATAAAGATCAATATAATCTACCCCCAATCTTTTTAAAGATCTTTCACAAGCTTGGCGAACATATTCAGGTTTACCCGATACACCTAAAAATGCGCCATTTGAATCTCGAAGTCCACCGAACTTTGTACAAAGAAATACTTTATCACGTTTGTCTTTAAGGACTTTTGAAAGGAGAATCTCATTTGCTCCATTTCCATAAATATCCTTTACACATAAAAAAATTCGCAATACACCATTTTTTTTATTATTATAATTAAAGTTAAAATTTCAAATTATAAAAGAGATTAAATACGAACGGAAGTATCCCAAAAGGTAGATCCTAAATCAATTGCTCGGTTCAACACATTAATATTCCCCTGCTCATCAGCTGAACCGTAAAAATCACTCATGCCCTTCATATCAAAGAAATTACATCAACATTAAAATCATATAATTAGTAAATAAACATTACAATGCTTTGAATATACCATGCATCCTAAGCCGATTGCAGAGATTTTTACACCAGTTTTACCAAGTTCACGAAGGGACATTTTCTCAAAAAAAAAAAAGCAATTTTTTAAAAAATAAAATCAATAATTCTTTAAGCGTATTTATCTAATTTCACTTCCGAATTTTTTCAAAAACTTTGGGGTTCCAATATAACTAAATTCAGTATTGATAATCAAAGATCCCCCTTTTGACGTGTTTATTTACTGATTGACAAGCGGAAAATTTTAAAGTACTACAGCGCACCCTACAATAAAAATAATTGAGTAATACTCATCTTGTCATTTAAAATCAAAAAACAATTTTTCCTAGTACGCCGTTCTCACTTCTTTGACATTGAGTACTCAGATAATTTTGAATTTGTTGTTAGAAATTCATTACCTTAAGCATTTTAAATATGATAAAGACAAACTATTAAAGTGAAAAAAATTCTAAATAATTAAAAATATTATACTATTCTTTAACCAGATTTTAATGCAAGTCCACTATCAAAACTTTAAAATGGGATAGCATAAGGCGACGCAAAGTTATAAATTCGGTTTTCATATCGGCATTTTTGACCCGGCCGCCCGGATTTTTATACCAATAAAATAATTTTCATATGTTAAAAGTTTTAAGTTAAATGATATCATAACTATTAAATTTTCGGCATGGGAAATCATTTAATAAAATAAACAAATAAAATTGCTAATCTTTTTTTTTCATTTATCAGAATGAGAATTTTCTTATTATTTTATGTCAAGCAGGAAATGCCTACTTAGGCTATTACAATTCAGATGAAAAGAAAGAAGCACTGAATGAGAATTTTCTTCAATGTTATGATAGCGGTTATCACATGATATTATAAAGTATAAACTATTTTTATTGGCCAATTATCTTAATATAAAAAATAAAAATTTTGGATTTGTGATTTACCAACCCGGCCGGGATATGAAAACCGAATATATAACTTTGCGTCGCTTAATAATAAGATACCACCGGATTTTAATTTCTCTAGTTAATTTTTTTTAAATAATTACAAGAAATACACTTTTCAAATATTTTAATGCGCGAAATCAACGGAAGGCCTATCAACGTATCACATTGAACTATAGTTCCATATATACATGTAGCCGAAACTTGCCGAAAACATGGCCGAATCAGAAAGTTCCGAAATCTGAAACGAACCTCTGGCCGAAACTTGAGATCAATGTCCGAAACTATTTTATAATTCTGGCCAAATTTTCAGTGCTGGCCAGAATCGTATATCACGTGACACAGGATCACCGAGAAAGAATGTTACACACAGAAATTTTCATGCCTGCGATGAAATTTTACATTAATATTACACAAAATTTATAATTCCGGCCAAAATGCATAATTCCGGCCAGAAAATTTCGGCCCAACTTTCAACTTTCGTCGCTTGGCCAAAGGCTGAATCCTGAAATTATTCCGAAATTGCCGAGTTCCATACTAAATGATCATCAAAATTAAAAAAAAATCATTATGATAATGATAATAATCTCGATTTTTGTATAATTATTGCGTAGATTTAGCCTTTTTTATTTGAGTTATATCTAAATTTTAAATAATTCTTTGGAATAAATCTTGATTCTGTCTCAATATGTTTATTTATAAAATTTGCGATTCTTATCGTATCAATATGAACATGCATGCTTTTGGTTAAAGGTTACTAGTTATGTCATAAACTTTTTGCATTTTGTACTTTTCGTTTAGCTAAACTTGTTCAGTTATTTGTGAAATATGTCTATATTAATATCATTGACGTCACGTGACATAATATACCTAAACAAGTTAATATAGGCGTATTCGGCCAAAAATATTTCCGTCTGGTAGTGCTTATTTTGTACTACAAATATGCCTTTTAGCGCCTCCTGTAAAAAACCAAAAATATTTTCGTGAAACTTTTTACCTTGTTCATCACTTTGATAATTAATTCTTTTACTATCTATTGAATGAATTCCATTATTGTCAAGAATAAAAAAAAGAGAGAACCACTATTGATTACATATTCTAAATATTTGATTTGTTCGGATAATCCTATTAATAATGTGGTTTATTACTAAAGGATATCAACTCGGATTTAAAATCAGCCGTCCCCATCAAATATATAATAATTTAAACGGAAATCAATCTTCAGTTATTAATTGATTTCTTTCAAAAAAAACATGTCTCTCCCACTTTGCGAACTTGGCAAAACTGGTGTAAAAGTCCCTGCAATTGGTTTGGGTTGTATGGTGTGTTCATAGTTAATTCTTTAAAACTAATTCATGCGTGGAATTAATCATGATCTAATAATTCCTTTTTGTTAGGGCATGAGTGATTTTTATGGATCAGTTGACGAACAAGAAAGTATTGATGTTTTGAAACAGTCCATTGAATTAGGATTCAACTTTTGGGATACTTCCGTTTGTATTTATTTGTAAATGTTTTAATTTTTAAGATCAAAAAAAAAGAAAAAATTAATTATACTTTTTTTAATTTGATTATGTAAAGGATATTTATGGAAATGGAGCCAATGAGATTCTCCTTTCAAAAGTCCTTAAAGACAAACGTGATAAAGTATTTCTTTGTACAAAGTTTGGTATACTTCGAGATTCAAATGGCGCATTTACAGGTGTATCAGGTTCACCTGAATTTGTTCGTCAAGCTTGTGAAAAATCTTTAAAAAGATTGGGGGTAGATTATATTGATCTTTATTATCAACATCGTATGGATCCTAATACGTAAGTGAAAATTTCAATATAATGATCATTTTTTAAAAATTGAGACTTTGAATTGTCATTTGATCACAGACCTATCGAAGATACTGTTGGTGCTTTGGCAGAACTTGTTGGCGAAGGAAAAATTAAATATATTGGTCTTTCCGAATGTTCTGCAGAAATTCTTCGACGTGCTCATAAAATACATCCTATTGCCGCAGTTCAAGTAAAAATAATTATTTTTATGTATACTACTTGTATATGTTCTTTACAATAACTTTATTATGTTGAACATTATGTTTTAAGATGGAATATAGTCCCTGGACGCTCGACATTGAAACGAATGGAATTATGGAAACTTGTCGTGAATTAGGTGTCACTATAGTAGCATATAGTCCACTCGGACGTGGATTTCTAACGGTATTTATTTATATACATATATAGTGTGTATTAATGTATAAAATACCGATTCTCATAAATTTTAACTCTTTCTAGGGAAAATATAAATCTGTTGATGATTTTGAACCGGACGACATTAGAAGAAATTTTCCACGTTTTCAAGGTGATAATTTCAATAAAAATTTAGAACTTGTGCATAAATTTCATGAATTTGCGAATAAGAAAGGCGTAACTCCAAGTCAACTCTGCTTAGCTTGGGTTATATCTCAGGTATCTAGTAAATATTATCACAAATTATTTTATTATTCTGAAAAATAATTAATTTTACATGTTTATAGGGAGATAATAATATTGCTATTCCTGGTTCAAGAAAATTGAAATATTTAGAAGAAAATTTGGGAGCAGCTAATGTTCATCTTACTCCCAAAGAATTGTTAGAAGTTAGGCAAATCATCAATTCTATTGGCATAGTCGGTAATAGATATTATAACACAAGCGATCCAGGTAAGAATTATTATGTTATTTTTGTAACTTTGTATCTTATGTCATGTTTAAAAGCCAATTAACTTCGTTTCTTGCGTTGCTATAAAAGGGACTAAAACTATTATTGCTATGCAAAATATGAAATAATTTAATAGTTAACATATTTATATTTAATCATACCCCTGGAAAAAACGGTAGCAGGATTACACGTGACTTCGGACAAATAGTATTTTGATAAAAATCATATAATAAAAAGATAATACAAATAATTATCAATTATGGTTCCAATTTATAATATAAAAGAATTCAAATGTTTTTATTTCAATTATAAAGTTTAATTCATTTTTTCCGAAGATCTGAACTCGGGCGAACATTTTTTTAATCATAATTCATAAATGCCCTTTTGTGTTTGTCACGATTAAAATGTAATTAGAACTACATACAAAATTTTCGTTAAATATAAAATTATAAGAACTTTGACCAATCTGCTTATCTCTCTCTTTCAATCACTGATTTGCCTACATAATATGAAATTAATGGATAATTTCTATTTCGTTGTACCTATAATGTAAAAACAATATTTTAGTTATAATCTACTGTACTATATAATGTATTAAAATGAATTAAATCTTACCTTTTTTTTGATTCTTGTCCCAGTAAACCATGAATTTCCTGAGATAGATGTAATTATGTGATGAGTAATTTTAATTTCGTGATTTTCTTTGATGATCCATTTTTTTCTAAATAAAATCAAGAAAGATGAAAGTTATATACAAAAATTTAATTTAACTTCTCATTTTCTCCTTCATAAAACTCATAAAGTTATATACGGTTTCAGTGATATCAGTATAGCTAATTATCTTAACCGGCTCAAGTTGTTTTTTTATTATTTGCGCGAGCTGTTTTAAGTTTATTTCAGGATTTAAACACCTTTTTAAGGCAACATTCTTTTCATTTAGAAATTTTTATAATTTTGAGCGTAACAAAACCTCAGGCACGTGATTCACGTGATTTGACTGTCACAAACATCCCGTCCAGTATGCAACTCCAATGTTAACGTTAACAAGTATTCAACCAATCTTCCTAATCCTTACCCAACTCAATGTAAACATAACTCTAAAGATATTCCGCGTATATTAATGAAATTCACAGATTTTTAATTTATAAATAATAAATTTTATTTCAATTCGTATTTGAAAAAATAAAAAAATGAATAAAGTAATTTATAATGTTAAATTACTATAAATAATGAGCATTATCAGTATGGTTCTTCCATGTTAATGGTCACTTTCTTTGATATTATTCAACATCCTCAATTAGTTCAATGATATTGTTTGAAATTTCTTAAGTAGAAATCTCATTAGTTGAAATGATTACCTAGCAATGTAATTATAATTCTTGATTATTATTGGATGATAAATTTCCAAGAGAGTTGCAATAAGAATCAATTTTAATTTTAAATAACGATTTTGTAATTAAAATAATACACATAATATGTCGCAATTATCAAAATTGCGTCATACATAACAAATCACAAGTTAACTGAATCACGTGATGGCTATGACTGCCACGTGATAACGGATTATAAATCTTATAAAACTTATATTTATAATAACTGATAAATATTTATAATAAATATTCTGTTATTTGTAAGTGTACGGTAATTACTACTCAACTTTGATGAATAAGACGTCTTCGCCCTTCGGGCTAATATATGTCCGTTAAATAATTTGAAATTTGTTAAAATCGGAAGATGATGATTTGATGATGTAATTAATGTAATTAGTTGTCACAATATTATGTATTGGTGCGACAACAGGTATCAATTCTATATTAATAAAAATTGCTTACTCATTTCAAAATATCAAAACTTAGAATTTTATTATATCAATGAATTACTATTTTTGGTGGTTGTAATTTTTTTTTTATACGAATTAATAGAATTAATATCAAGATTAATTGATAATCAAATAATTAAATTATGTCCACATGTTTTATCCAAATTTTTACTTTCTCAATAATTAAACTTTCCGGTAAACTAACTTATTGCGGTAAATTTGTTCATTTTTTAAGTTGGCCTATTTAGGACAGAACAGAATAATACTAATTATTAATCTTATTTTTATTTGTAATCTCCTTTTGTCGTTTAGTCTAAAAAAATTAGCTTATACTATTAACTCATTCGTATGAACAATTATAGTCTAAAATTAATTCGGGGTTAACTCATTCGTATGAATAATTATATTTAAGGAGTAGATAAAAACAATAACCTTCTTTAAAAAAATTTTTAAAAAATGTCTCTTCCTCTTCGTGAACTTGGCAAAACTGGTGTAAAAATCCCTGCAATTGGATTGGGGTGTATGGTGTGTTCATAATTAATTTTTAACGCTGATTAACACATTGCTTCTAATGATCTCATCATGCGATTTACGATAATCCTTTTCGATAGGGAATGAGTGATTTTTATGGTTCAGCTGATGAACAAGAAAGTATCACCGTTTTGAATCGATCCATTGAATTAGGATTTAACCTTTGGGATACAGCTGTTCGTATTTATATTTTATTCATAAGTCAAAAAAAAAAAAAAAAAAATTAACTCTTTATTATTTGTGCGTTTTTTATCAAATTCATCTTTAATGAACAACAAATAAGACCAAAAACGTATATATTTAGTTCCATTCCCCGGTTAAAAAAAAAAAAAAAAAGATTATAATTTTTTTAAATGTGATTTTTAAAGGATATTTATGGTAGTGGAGCCAATGAAATTCTCCTTTCTAAAGTTCTTAAAGACAAACGTGATAAAGTATTTCTCTGTACAAAGTTTGGTGTACTTCGAGATTCCAATGGCGCATTTACAGGCGTATCAGGTTCGCCTGAATATGTTCGCCAAGCTTGTGAAAAATCTTTAAAAAATTTGGGAGTAGATTATATCGATCTTTATTATCAACATCGTATGGATCCTAATACGTAGGTTAAATTCCAGTATATATAATTATTTTTATTAAGAATTATTTGTTATGACATTTAATTGTTATTTTTATTAGACCTATTGAAGATACTGTTAGTGCTTTAGTTGAACTTGTTAATGAAGGAAAAGTTAAATATATTGGTCTTTCTGAATGTTCTGCAGAGACTCTTCGACGTGCTCATAAGATTCATCCTATTTCCGCAGTTCAAGTAAATATTCCCTTTGGAAAATAATGATTAATTAAAATTTTTCAATAAACATTATTATATAACTTTATGCTTTTTTTAAGATTGAATATAGTCCTTGGACTCTTGATATTGAAACGAATGGAATTGTGGATACTTGTCGTGAATTAGGTATCACTATAGTAGCATATAGTCCACTCGGACGCGGATTTCTAACAGTATTTATCCTTTTTTTTTAAAAAAAATAAAAAAATAAAATTGTTTATATTTGTGTAAAAAAAGCATAACATCGATTCAATGAATTTTAATTGTTTTATAGGGAAAATATAAATCTCTGGACGATTTTGAACCGAATGATTTTAGAAGAATGCTTCCACGTTTTCAGGGTGAAAATTTCGATAAAAATTTAGAAATTGTGCATAAATTTCATGAATTTGCGAATAAGAAAGGCGTAACTCCAAGTCAACTTTGCTTAGCTTGGGTTATATCTCAGGTAAATCATATAATAAAATGAATTTTAGTCTTTTTTTTTTTGAAAAAAAAAGATATAATTATTTATTATAGGGGAATAATGTTATCGCTATTCCTGGAGCAAGAAAATTGAAATATTTGGAAGAAAATCATGGGACAGCTAAAGTAAATCTTACTCCTGAAGAATTATTAGAAATCAGGCAAATTATCAATTCTATTGGCATCGTCGGTACTAGATATAATGCTCATGCGATGGAGGTAAGAATCATTATTTTTTCTTGATTTTTTTAAAAAAAACGACACTAATTACTTAACTTGTTTCTTTAAAATAAGGAATTGAATAAATAAATCCTTGCTTCTTCCCATAATGCAACTCATCCGTAGCGATTAGTTATTATGATAATGTAAATTCAATAACGGAAAATAATAAATAAATAAATATATTATCTTGATTACGTTTAATTGAATGATAAATCTAAATAAAGTTCTTGTTTGTGTCCTTGTAACATTATAAATAAAATATTATGACGGGTATATGTCGGGCCGACAGTATGCTCAATATAGAAATCGTGTGTTAGTAGTGTAATTTAAATAATATGTCTCTTTCTCATGAACTTGGTAAACTGATGTAGGATGCATGGTGTGTCAGTTGTTCATACAGCTCATAGTGCTGTATATATACTGTATTTGCTAATCAAGTGATGGCCTGCAGAAACTCTTCGACGTACTTATAAAGTTCATCCTATTGCCACAGTTCAAGTAAATCTGTGTATATCAATATAATATCGATATTATTTAACTTTTAAAATATTAATATCATTTATTTTAAGATGGAATATAGTCCCTGGACTCTTGATATTGAAACAAATGGAATTATGGAAACTGGTCGCGAATTAGGTGTCACTATAGTAGCATATAGTCCACTCGGACGCGGATTACTAACAGTATTTATCATTTTTTATTTAAAACTTATATAGAGTTGTTCTATTTACATTTTTAATTTTTGTTTTGTTTATTATTTTAGGGATTGATAACCTCGAACCAGGCGATTTTAAAAGAACAATTCCACGTTTCCAAGATGAAATCTTGGTAAAAATTTAGTACTTATAGACAAAATTCATTGAATTTGTGAATAAGAAAGACATAACTCCAAGTCATCTTGGGTTTTAGCTCAGGTAAAAAATATAATTACAAAATGTTCTTTTATACAGCAGTATATAATACATTATTTTTTATAATAATTTATTTTGTAAAATAGGGGTATAATATTGTTGTTATTCCTGGTACAAGAAAAATCAAATATTTAGAAGAAAATCTTGGCAACAAATGTTTATCTTATTTCTGAAGAATTAGCAGAAATTAGGAAAATTATTGATTCATTGGTATCAGATATAGTACTGAATTGATGCATGTAAGGATTCATATCATTTACGCATGTTACCATTTATATAATTTTATTAACAATTGTCTTTGCAACAGAAAAAAAATAATAATAATATAGACATTAAATTTTATAAAAATTTTTTTTATTCATACCTACCCAACAAATTTATTAAATGAAATAAATATATTTTCTGTAAATCGAGCTTTCTTAATTACCATGATGCGTCTTAATAAATCATAAATGTTTTTACCTGGATTGTATAAATATATGTATGAATATAATGTAGTACACACATAACGATATAATTAATTTATAATCTGTGATTACACCTTTATAATAGGGCCCTCGACATGCTTACTTTCTGATGGTGTTTCTTATTTGTAAGTTATAATAAATTCTTTTTTAAAAAAATAAGAATATTGGTTCACTTCAGAAGGATGATAGTGATCAAGTGTCCTATATTTAGTTGTTCGCTATTTATTTATAATATCTTAATATCGCATACGAGAATATTTTTTGGTTTATGTGTTGAATAACGAAATTAATGATATCATATGAAACAAATACAAAACCTCCATGTTGATTCATGTTTTATATTCCAAGTTTTATCACAACTTGTGATCGTGTAGCAGATTCACGGAGCTTTGAGAATTGAGAGATATAACGTGACAAGTTGGTTTCTTTTGATGATATTGTCTTTAAGTACTAAAATTGGATAATTAGTATCACGTAAAAAATTGCAGTTTCCATTTAATATTGTATTCATTCATGGATAATACTAATCCATGGAAAAGGAGGTATCATGTGAAACATCAATATATCTGCGACGCTTGTATTCAATTGGAAAACAAGCAGACAAGGGTGAAAATGGACAAAGACACAATGTGAAACATAACAAAAAATCTGTAACGTGATTACTATAAACTTGTGCCTATAGTTTCTTGTTTTCTAAATTAAATAATTTTTAGAACACACACGTTGCTCAAACTTAAAATCTTTGCAGATTGTGCAATGTTTCACATGATATTCATGAATATGTTCGCACAAGTTATCAATTTAGAATCGCTTATTATTACTTTTTTTTGGTATAAAGGAAATATTTGGTAGAAAACCATGTTTAATCGCATAAATTGGAATTGATAGGTTAAAACTTATTTGTTTCAATAGCTAAATCAATTTATTATTTGTTTATTTGCTCATTAGTATCAGCCATATCATATAAATCATTTGTAATCGTCCTAATCAAGTAACAATATTATTACCATTTAAGAAATTTCAAACAGTATAATAGAATGATGAATTTAATTATATATTAAATATACTGTATTTTTCCATGTGACGGATTGTGACGCATAGCTTCCTAAATAAGAAATTAAAATACCAAAGGATCAATTTGCATATTTTTCCTCATTCATGGCTTCTTTCAAATGGCTGTAGTATATATAGGACGCTTGATCGCTATCGTCCTTTTGTAGCATTCCCAAAGATCTTTATAATTTACACAAATTATAACCAAACCCAAGAAATTATGTCGGAATATCGTCTATCTCAGCCGCGGCAATCAACTGATGCTTTGTTTAATTATCTTAACGAAAAGTTGATGAACAAGTCAGTCAAAGTACTATATATATTATGTTTGTAAATCTAATTTTTTTAATTTGTTGCCTTTTTTTCGAATAGTCCTGACAAACTTTCAGTGAACGAAAGATGCGTAGCAATTGATTGTGAAATGGTTGGAGTTGGTTACGGTGGGAAAGCGTCAGCACTTGCAAGAGTTAGTATCGTAAACTATTATGGGATAAAATTAATGGATAAGTACGTTAAGCCGAAAAGAGTGATCACGGATTATAGAACACTTTACAGTGGAATCACTCCAAAACATTTAGAAAATGGTAGGAAAGAAATGAAATGTTTATTAAAATAATTTTTTTTTAATAATCTCTCTTTTTTTAATAGCTTATGATTTTGAAGAAGTCAAACGTGAAGTTCAAGAATTATTGGAAGGAAATTTGATAGTTGGTCAATCTCTTGGTTATGATTTTTGCGTAAGTTATTTTTTTATTTATTTATAAATTATTAATAATTTTAATATATACCTATATATATTCCACAGGCTTTAGAATTGGAAAGGCCGGACACCATGATACGTGATACTTCATGTTATTATTATTTGTTTGGCGATAAATTCGGGAGAAGACCACTTAAAAAGCCTTCTCTTAAAGTATTGACAAGAGAAGTTTTGGGGCTAGATATACAACAGTGGACTCATGATTCAGTAAGATGAGATATTTCTTTTTTTTAAAAAAAAAAAAAAAATTATTTTTATTTCTCAGAAAGAACCAGCATAAAAAAATATTTCAACTATATTTTTATTTATCAACAGATTGAAGATGCACGTGCTTGCATGTTACTTTATCGATTGAAACAGGATGAATGGGAGACAGCTATTGCAAGAGGTCAAAAAATGCCATTAGATATCGGTGGATGTTACGTCTGTGGCTCGCTTGGCCACACCAAAACGTATTGTCCGTGGAGACGATTATAACATAAGCGAACATTTATGACAATTTATCTATAAATAATATCAAATATTCAATTTATATAATTATATTTATTAGTTATTTATTATATTTTAAATAAAACCGCCAATATATTGTTATTATAATTAATAATTATAGCTCCTTATAATTGCATAATTTATTTAAAGTTATTCAGTAAGCTGCTAATACAAATTTTATTATTAGTATCTCTAAATTTAGTGTATAATGTTTGTATTATCTCTTATTTATATTGAGTTAGAGACTTCCAAGTCGATTAATTGAGAGTCGCAAGCTAATAAAACAACAAAATTAATATCTGAAAATTTTTTATTTATAAAAATTTTATAATATAAAATACCTTCATTATTAATATACGAAATAATAATGGATGAATTAACAGGTTTTGGTAATAAATTACTAAATGTAAATGCACTTGTATATACAGCATTAGAATTCTTTTCATATGAAGTTGAGATGGTTGGTATTTCCTTATCGGCTTCTTCAAATGCTTCATTAATTTCTTTTCCTTTATGGCCAAACTCTTCTTTATCGTCTTTTTCACCTCTAATAGAATAATACCAAAATTTTAATATATCATCTAATTCATAAGCTGTTGGTCTTTCACCTGGATTAGCATCCATACATTTATAAGCTAATTTCTTATAAAATCCAGGAGTTCCATTTCCAAATTCTGGCCTAGATCCATTACATATAGATAATGCCAAGCTTAAATTATGTTTTTTATTGTAGAAAGGTGGTTTTCCAGATGATAATTCGGCCATAACTACACCAAAACTAAAAATATCAGCACATGATGTATATGGTTCTCTATTTAAGACTTCTGGAGCAATATATGGCAATACCCCGTATACTTTTTCATCTGATTTTTGTTCAATTGCTGGTCCAGATAATCCAAAGTCTGAAATATAAGACGCAAAATCACTAAGTCGTAAGATATTTCCACTATGAAAATCTTTATGAAAATATCCTAATTTATGTAATTCACGTAAATCAAATGATGAATCATGCAATAATTTAATTTTATGTTTCCAAAAAATATTATTAAAATTATTTGAGAGACTACCACTCAAATTTCCTTTATCAGCGAATTCTATGACCATTATAAATTCTTTAGTTTCCGGGTCTTTAGATAATCCATAAAGTTTTAATCCGTATGTCTTAGATAAATTCCAATGTATTTTAAGCTAAATTTATATAAAAATTGTTTTTTAATGATTCTTAAACAATAAAAAATGAATAAATTAAATTATGAAATATAGATTGAACGTATTTCATTTAAATATTTGTCGGACATATTCTGAGACCCATTTAACCTTTTCAGCGCAACTTTCTTAGGAGGTTTAAACTCTTCTTTTTTATAATTCCCATTATTAATCCTAAAATATTCTAATTTACCATCAATCCAAGTTGCAGAATACACTTTGGAAAATCCACCTTCACCAATTTTTTTTATATCTGTAAATCTATCAAATGGGACCCATTCGAGAAATTCATAAACATAAGCTTGTTTACTATTTCTTACATCATACATTGTATCTTTTATAAACTTATTAATATCAGGGCTTTCACTGGTCCATCCTTCCATTATTCTAAATGGGTCACATTCTATACACCATAATTCTTCAATAAAAGGTTTATTGCAATACGAACAATTTTTGGTGTTTGAGATATTTAATTTATTAAATTCGGTTTCCATTGAATTATTTTCAAAATTGTTCGAGTTTTTTGTTAATATTTTTATATTAATAGGTAACATATACAATTCGTAACCAACGTAAATAACGTTATCTGGTACGTTATTACGTGGTGCGTTGTCGGACTATATTTTTTCCGATGTCAGTACTGATCTACGGCTCGTCCATTGTGATTATTGTGATTCAAAAAATTTTTTTGCATATTTATCACGGGCGTCGTATGTTAATATCGTGCACCCTCCACTGTACATTAAGAAACACGCCCTTATTTGTTAATGCCATAATTCTGGTCAAAAAGCTGTTTAAATCAGGCTTTTAGACACACCTTTAACCGGTTAATTTACCTGTTAATTTTACCCTTTCTCAACATTTGATGATCACCTTAATATGTTAACTTATTTGCGTATGATTACTAATTGAATTAATGATCAACGCGGAAAACTTGATAAGATGCTGCACCATGATGACATGGTCAGGTGGCGACCTCTTTTTAATTATATGATTAATTTATCATCATATTTCCACTTTTACCTAATAACCTTTACTATTTTAATCATTATGTGGAAGAATATATTATACTTATTTGCGTATTATAAATAATGATTATTAATTGATTGTTAATCAACGCAAGAAACGATTATTTAAATCAGACAAAATATTCTCATGAAATTGAAATTTAATTTTAAAAAATGTCACTTCGTGAACTTGGTAAAACTGGTGTAAAAATCCCCTCAATCGGTTTAGGATGCATGGTATGTTCATTAGTATCGATATTATACTTATTAATAATATGAGTTAATGCCAATTTAATTTCTTTTATTTGAAAGGGGATGAGTGCTTATTATGGTTCATTTGATGAACAAGAAAATATTAAGTTGTTAAATCGATCAATTGAATTAGGTTGCACTTTTTGGGATACTGCTGTTCGTATTTAAACTTTTTCTACTGTTTAAAGATTTTCAATTTTTAAAATCAGTAGTAGTTATCGTGTAATCACCGTACTTTTTTCAATTTTATAAAATATAAAAGGATATTTATGGACTTGGAGACAATGAAATTCTCCTTTCAAAAGTTCTCAAAGAACGTCGTAATGAAGTATTTCTTTGTACGAAATTTGGTATCGTTCGAGGACCAAATGGTGAATTTAAAGGCATATCAGGTACACCTGAATACATTCGTCAAGCTTGTGAAAGCTCTTTAAAAAGATTGGGAGTAGATTGTATCGATCTTTATTATCAACATCGTGTGGATCCTAATACGTAAGTAAAAATTTTTTTTTTATCGAATTGTCAAATGAGTTACATACTGTATTTATTTTTGAATTTTTACAGACCCATTGAAGTTACCGTTGGTACCTTAGCAGAACTTGTTAAAGAAGGAAAAATTAAGTATATTGGTCTTTCTGAATGTTCTGCAGCAACTCTTCGACGTGCTTATAAAGTTCATCCTATTGCTGCAGTTCAAGTAAATTTTTTATAATATCGATATCATTCAACTTTTAAAATTACTAAATATCATTTTTTTTTTTTAAAGATGGAATATAGTCCTTGGACTCTTGATATTGAAACTAATGGAATTATGGAAGCTTGTCGCGAATTAGGAATTACTATAGTAGCATATAGTCCACTAGGACGGGGATTCCTAACGGTATTTATCTTTTTTTTTTTAAAAAAAAAAAATATTTATGTATAAAATAATAATATTTTGACATCAATGAATTTTAATGATTTTTTAGGGAAAATATAAATCTATTGATGATTTTGAACCGGACGATTTTAGGAGAACAGTTCCACGTTTTCAAGGTGAAAATTTCGATAAAAATCTAGAACTTGTACGTAAATTTGATGAATTTGCAAGTAAGAAAGGTGTAACTTCAAGTCAACTATGTTTAGCTTGGGTTTTAGCTCAGGTAAAATATTATATGAGAATTATGTTTATTAATATCAAATATTTCAACAAACAAGAATTTAACTTTTTAATGTTTATAATGTAAATTTTTGTAGGGAGATAATATTGTTGCTATTCCTGGTACAAAAAAAATCAAGTACTTGGAAGAAAATTTTGAAGCAGTAAAAATTCATCTTAGTTCTGAAGAGTTATCTGAAATTAGACAAATTATTAATTCTATTGAAATTACTGGCGCCAGATATGACGAAAATTTTATGCAGGTAAGAAATCATTCTTTTTATTTTATTAAAAGTAAAACCACGAATTATATTAAAATGTTGCTTTTACAGATGTTGAACGTATAAACCTTTTTATTTATTGATTGTGATAAATTAAATATTCCCTGCTCCCAATCTAAATAATAGATCGTTTTTTCAAAAAAAAAAAATATTGTCTGTTTTGATCAATTATAGTGACCAAAGTAATAAATTTTCAAAGGATTTATTTTTAATAAACTTTATACCTTAAGTCCATAGAAAGAATTTAATACCTGTGAAATCATTAATTAAATTGATATATTAAAAATTCAAAAATTGTAGTTAGTCTAGATTTCGTGACGTTGATGATCTGCATTCCGCAGATCAGTCATTCAATATGATGTCATTTTATCACTTTTTTTTGCGTTTTTGCGTTTTCTTTTTATAATTTTATGACATTTCTAACTTGATTAGTAAATGCCTATTAAGTATCAAGAATACAAAAAGATAAAATAATCAAGTTACATCTATATAACCTTTCTTAAGTTCGCATAATAACGATAGTCTGTCATTAACCAAACACTTCATTCAAACAGGTGAGAAATGAGGGATCTTTCACTAGTAATGTACGGTACATACTGTCGAGCGTAAATTGATTAATAAAATTTTTATTCAGTAGATATGTGATGATTATCATATAAAATTGATGTTAATTTATTAGCCATAGGAAGATTTCATTTAAGTAAGGAACTTTCCTTTATGATCTAGTATAGATACCGTAAAATAATAATAATGATATTATATTCGACTGATAGCGGAAAATATTTTAGTAAATTCAATATCTTCCAGTTAGTATATCTTGTCCATTTTATGTTACGGATTTATACATATTATTTAATATTATTTACGATTTTTATTAACAGTGAGATTAACTTTTTCAGTTCTTCCTTATGTTTAAGATCCATTGTTCCTCTGCCGATGAAACAACAATTCTTTGATATATGATGAATCTGAGCCACTGATTTTTTCGTATCCTTTCTTTCTAAAATTTGACTTCCAGCAATGTGTTAGGTGGTGGTGGTGGTACCGATTAATATATTTTTTGTATATGTGGCAATGATTTCTGCCATAACCATGACATTATTTCAAACAAAATAAAATATATATTGGTTTTAATTAAAAGAACATATTATTTCGTTTTACAATTATTTATTTTATTACCTTTCATTGCATTAATAAAAAGGTCACAACAAATAAAATATTTGGTTTTGATATGAGAAGTGCTTGCGGCTAAACTCGTTGGGAGATAATTTTTGATTGTGAGACCAAACATGCATGTTGTGTACATGTTTCGGTCCTGATTAGTATAAACACATCTAAAGAACTTTCATAGTCATTTACCGGACTAGGAAAGTTATCAGTCTTTATGGTATGATTGGTACAAGTTTCAGGATCTGGCTATTGTTACTACGGCGCAACTGACAACTGAGTTTCAGAGTTAAGCTTCTGTTGGTACGAGGTCATTTTAATATTTACTATGTATTAAAATCAGTTGTACTTACTTTACTTGAGTCAATTATCTTCTATAATCTACAGAAAGCCAGACACTCAGATACCCAGAATAAAGATTTAAGTTTATAAGCTATTACGAAATTTCGAAAATGCAATGGCAATGGGCAATGTCGATAACATCCAATTAAATTGAATTAATTCTTGTAACAATTGTTAAGAAAAATTCAGGTTAAAATTTACTACTTCTTAAAGTTTCTTGGAATAGTTTCCTTTCAAGTTGAAGCTTTTTTATTACTCTCTTAAAATTAATTAATGGTTTCACATGGGAAAGAGGCGTTCAGTATCAGCAGCAAGTTTCGAAAAATTCTATTAATAATTGTTTCTAAGAAAGAATTTTCTTAAAATTTTTATACAATTTTATTCCAATCTGTTCATCTAAATTTATGCTTTTTTTTTGTAAATGAACAGTGAAGGCATAATTATTAATGAATAAAGTATTATGTTTTTAAATTATTATGTTTTTGTGGCGATCGAATCAATTAGTTACTTCTTGTTTTTATGTCGATCAAAACGTTACTTTTGTAGTTTTATAAGAACTTTGTTCTATAACAGAGTTTACTTGTCGTTTTTTTGCGTTAACTTTTTGACTTTCAAAGTATGTTATGTATCCTTTGCTGTATATCTGTGGTAGTTTCTTTTGAAAGAAGGTTATATTTCATTTTTTTTTTCATTATGATTATTTTATTAACAAAAAAAAATCAAAAATTTTTTCCCACACGAATCTAATTAAGATAATTTATCAACTAATTAATATATATACTATATAATCCATTTTCAAATCTTCGATATTTCAATTAAAAAAAATATACGGAATCACTTAACAGATATGCTTGATCATTATTTCTTTTTTATTTGAAAGCAAATGTTAGAAAGAACGAAAATAATACAAAAATTATACATTCAATTTTAATTTTATTATTTAAGTTTTCTGTAATGTTCTATATTGCAATCTTAAACCATTTCACTGAGCTCGATCATTTAAACATTAATAAAATCGAAAAATAGTTTACAATAGCATTTAAAATTACCTGATGATATTACAGGTCAAATATACTGTATATGTCCAGTGTATTTAACTGATATCGATCGATAATCGATTGATTTTGTTTATTTCGATTAAGCTTTATAGGCTAACACTTTTATTGTAATTTTATGGTAATTTCATTATTTTTATTATAAGAATTTTCGATGATGGGGATAACTTATGTTATATTATCTTAATGGAAACGATTAGTATTTGAATGACTACAAAATTTTGTTAACAATTGTTTCCAAATTCATTCAATTCAAGATACCATCATTTTTAGTTTAAAACGAACTAACAAGAGTTAAAATCTATGATAAATATAGTGCGTTTGATCGCTATATGTCCCTTCCTGTGTTGTCACTTCATATGTCCACTGGACCGTTTGTTCCAGTTTAAGTCCAGTTGTCAAAATTAATTAACTGGACCGTTCAGTCAAAACAAATACAGTCATTCCAGTACTATTCAGTCCAGTTCGGTCCAGTAAATATAATGCAAAAACATTTTGCTATATAAAAACATATTTTTAGTCCAGTAACAACACTGGGCTCTCCCTTCTCATTAAAAGAGGAGAGAACGGAAGTCAAAATATCGTGAACCAAGTATCATCTATCTCAATCATTTCAAGCTTTTTACCAAGCCTAAAGGTAAAAGAAGTTTTTATTAGAAAATGAACCGTTTAACATTCTTATCAATAAATTAATAAGTAAATAAAACAAAAAATAAACCATTTAAGAAAATTACTTCGGTTAATAAGCGATCTGTTTATGAATATGATGAGCAAATATTATTAGAGAAAAAAAGGTAATTAAGAAACTTTATTATATCTTGAGATTCATTATATACAAAAGAATATAACTTACTTATCGATGACGTTTTTGTAGGTATTCGCTCTGTCAAATCATTTATTCCTTTATTGCACGATCTAAGATCAAAAATAAATAAATAAACATAATTAATAAAAGAGAATAATTAACATTTTCATTTTAACCACCTAATCATTGTAAATTACTGAAAGAATTTTTACCTTAGTAAATCGGCAATATTTTGGCTATAAATTCCTCATATGATACAAAGGCATGAATCGATAATATGTGTGTATTTAAGAAACAATAATTTTATTTCTAATAATAGAACAAAATCTCATTACATTGTCGCTATCTTATTTTTGTTTTAATTCAAATCATGTATCATGTAAAAAAAATAATCATGTAACTAACCGCCACAATCACTTTATTTTAAAAACCAAATAATATATCATTTCCTTCTTTTTCAATTCCGAAAGCTTTGAGATTGTATTCTAAATTTACGAACATTCCTCCTTGCATGTAAAGCTTAATATACCCGTCTATAAAAGGTACGCTCATATTCAGAAGAGCAACTTGTTCCAGGTCTCCTTTCACATATCCAAGATTGGTTCCAAAAGCAGTTACACTCATTTCAATGGATGGTGGAACTAAAAATGCCTTTCCCTTTAATTCGATGAAACCGATAATGATAATAGTGAACTCCTTGCAATTTTTACTATTAAGGTCTTTGAGATTAAGAATAGTTGGAGGCATAGTTATGTTGAATTCGTTGTCATTTTCTCCACACGTAATATAATTCTTTGATGTTGGTGAAGACATGATTGTAGTAAGTAAACTAGTAAAAGATGGAGAAATTATATAAAAGAATACATCATTCTCTACTGTTAATATTAACTACATTTATTTACTCGAAATATTTTGATAATAATATCTGAAAAAAAATAAACCTTGTGAATTTTTATCCCTTGTCAACCAATTTAGAGGAAAGTTATGTATTTATTATTGAGCGATAGAACGCTATTATTAAACTTGAATTAGATAAAGAATGTCAAGGCATTACATAGGCACAATGAAAACCCCATCCCTATTATGGGATTTTAAAAGGTGTGATAAACTTGATTACTTAATAATTAACTTGTACATCGATAACCCAGAGACGGTAATTTGATGACTCTCGCATTAAGTAATTTGTGACATCATAAGTCACGTGAAACTTTAACTAAAAAAATTTTTTTTAATTTCTTTTTTGCCATATTTTCTTAATTCACCTACAATCTTATATTTGACTCAAGTATTCTTTTTAAATTTAATTTTTCAATAATAAGTTTATTTTAATAATGGAATTTACTTTTCTATATGGTATAACAACTTAAAATATTACATTTAAACTAAATTTTTTATTACTTTATTATTGCAAATATATATTAAATTACTATAGATCCTAATATTTTAATTTTAAACTAATATAACACTATTTAAATAAATTTATAATAATCTATATAAATAATATGATACAGTCAACTCTCTATAAATGCACCCTCTATAAATGCACACCCTCTATAAATGCACCTTTTATCTAGTTCCAACTTGGGCTTTAATGCTAAATGCATGGTTTATATATATATATATTCTGTAGATGCACCCTTTATAAAAAAATTTTATATAATTTACTTATAAAATTTTTGTATTACTTTAATTTTAGATTAGATTTATATGTATTCTATAAATGCATACTCTCTTTAAATGCACTCTTATACCTGGTCCTAAGGTGGATGCATTTATAGAAAGTTGACTGTATATTTAAAAAATTTTAAAGTATTAAAAATTGAAAAAAATAAATTTGATTTTAAAATTAAAGAAATATGCATTTGACAAAAAATATTATAATAAAAAAAATAGGATTAAATTAGATTTTAAAAAAAATCATATAGGCATTATTGCATTAATTTTTACTAAAATGATTGATATTCTAATTATTAAATAAGTCAAATCTGCTCATATGTAAAATTTAAACTATTAGAAAATATTAAAAAAATAAAGAATTATATTTATATTAAGTGACACAAAGTGGTAAAAATGGTTTTCATAGTCTGAACGGGTCAGTTTTGTTAAGTCTTAAAAAAATTTTTTATATTATTATATGCAATTTTTGAAAAAAAAATTAAAAGCCAGGTTGCCAGGTTATTGATAAAATTTTTATATTATGAAAACTATAAAATCAAGTTTGTATGGTCTTATAGAAAAATTTTTCAAAAATTGCAAAACTATTTAGTAAAAAAAAATAAGAAGTTTATATGAAAAATAAATTAAGTAATAAAAAGTATTAAATAAATTAAAAAAAAATTAATTAAAATTTTATATATAAATAGATAATAATAAAATTTACTTAATTATATTTATTCAAAATTAACAATAACTTAAAATAATAAAACAATATAAATAAATAAATGCTAATAAACAATAAATTTCATAAATTATAATAAAATAAAATATTGCTGCCTTTACTGGTGATCTGCAATATTACCAATAAACTAAATTATTATTAAAATAAACCTTTAAAGTCACCTTTTTCCTCACCATTCACCCATTCTTTATATATTATTTGTAATTTCAGTATAAATTATACTATGTGTAAATTAAACTGAGTATAAATTATACTGGATGTAAATTAAACTGAGTATAAATTATATTAGGTGTAAATTAAACTGAATATAAATTATACAAAGTATAAATTATATTATTACACTGCTGATTATTAAAATCTTATGCCAATTTCTTGAACTTTTGATGTGGTACAGATCTGCATAATACTACTCTTAATTTATTTCATTAATTTTTTTTATTTTTACATATATATTTTTCTTATTATTTATCTTTCCTTTTATTTATTTATTTATTTATTTTTTCAAGAAAAGTTATTTATATTTTAAGTATAAATGATATATATTCATTTATATGGATATATTATTTGAATATTTTTGCAAAAAGTAGTGGTAATATTAAAATTTAGAAAATTCTAATACAAAATTATATCTTATACATTATATAACAATAAGTTCAAATAGTCAGCAAGTTGCCATTTTTAACTTAGGTATTTATTTATTTTATTATTTTTCTATTTTCTTTTTAGAATTTTTTTTATTGAGTTTAATTATTTTTCATAACTAATCATTAGCTATGCTTGAGTTAAATATTTGTCAAGTTGATTCATTAATCATTATCCAGAAAACATTTAATAAATTGTAAAGCTCTTAGAGAAATTAGATTTTCTTTTAAATTTATATGGTCATTAGTAATTTCCAATTTGATTAATATTAAAAAAATTAGTAGTGACAAATCTAAAATATTAATAGTTCTAAGTTATTTCAATAAAAATATAATAATATTAAGAAAATCAGTAATAAATAATTCAATCAATAATAATTATATATAATTAATTAAGTAATAATAAAAAAAATAATCTAATATATGATGAAGAAAAAAAAGTTAAGGTAGTAAAATGATGATCTATCACAACTGCAAACTAGTTATTTTAAATATTAGTGAAATATTTAAAACTTTTTTTAACTTAAATAATATTGTAATATCAAATAATATTGCTAATAATAATGATGATAATAATAATTCATAGTGAATAAACTAATATTTTTTCAACTTTAAGAATTTTATTTTGCACTGAAAATTTAAGCTAAACTTGAAAACTTTTATTAAAATACTCTATGTATAGAATTATTAAGTAGGAGTATAAAAAATAATTACTTTTTAATTGATTACTAGTTTTAACCCTATTGCTTCATATCAGGATTATAATGCTGGCTAGAATTATATAATTGTTAGTTCATCATATAAAATTTACTTTTTTGAATTTATTTAACGTTATGTAATAAATTGGGCAAGATTGCATAATTTAAAATTTATTTATTATATAGGTATATACTTATCATCCAAATAAATGGGATGGGAATTTCATTCTATTCCATTCTATTCCATTTTAAATTTAAATTCCATTCTCATTCCAATCCCAAATTCCAATTCCAATTCCATCTCAAATCTCAAATCCCATTTCAAATCCCATTTAATATATAAATTTATAATTTCAGTAAAATTTTATAATTCTGGCCTAAATCTCCTTTTTAGGAACTTGAGTAATCCAAAAAGGGAATTTTGTTTCTCATCAAAAAATGGGAATTGGATTACACAATAATCCAAAAAAGGAAATTTTATATCGATTACTTAATTTTAGCCAAAATTAAAAATCACATGATATTGGCGATGATCGCCCTGGTAATAAAAGCAAACTCCTTTTTTTAACATAAATTTTTTTTAAATATAAAATATAATACTCTTTAAAAAAACTTATTTTTAATATATTTTATTATTTCTTTATAATTTTTGTATATTTAATTATTTGTAAATATTATCCTAGTATTAGGCATTTATATTATCTGTAATTAATCAATTCTTGGACTAAAGATATTATATCTTATATATAGTTGGATGCCAAAACTCTTCATATGCCAAAACTTATTGACCATATACTGAAAATAGTTCATCTTTTAGTTTATATAGTTGCCAAATCTGAAAAATTAAACCCATTGCTAATATCCTAAGCCATTTCCAAAATCCTAATTTTACTGAAAATTTAACCTAAATCTAGATTTAGTAATGGTCTAATAGTTTGGGATTTTGGCAATAGTTTTGGCAATTGCATATATCAAAATATTTCGGCACCTAACTATAATCTTATACTATATATACTAATAATTTAAATTTAAAATTAAAAAATTAGAAAATTAAATCCTTTTTTATTGAATACCAAGCCATTTTTAATTAAATACTAAGCATTTTTTTGTTAAAATGAAGCCATTTTGTTAAATTCTAAGCTTTCATTTTTGTTAAACACTAAGCTATTTTTGTTAAATGCTAATATTTTTTGTTAAATATAAAGTGTTTTTGTTAAATATAAAGTGTTTTTGTTAAACATTAAGCTTCTTTTATTAAATAATAACATTTTTTTGTTAAATATTAAGTTATTTTTATTAATTTTAAACCCTTTTTTATAAGTACTAAGTCACTTTCTATTAAATATTCAGTTCTTTATATTATTAACCAAAGTAGAATAAATTAACTAAAAATAAAAATTCTAATTAATATAAATATCTGTTACTAATCATTACAAATTAGTATTTTTCTAATTTATAGTTACTATTATTTATAATTAATTGTATATATCGGCAGATTTATTTACTTTTGCATAATGCTAAATTTTGAATGATTTTCATAATATCCGTCACCCAAAACTGGTTTGTAATGTCATGAAATCACTTGATTGAATATCACTTGACTAAATAATAAGTCGAGTAAAAATCTACATTTGCGAAACTTAAATTATTTAATGTAAAATAGACACAAAAAAACCCATTTCGTTAACAAAAAACCCATTTCTCACCTACATAGTATTTTTAATATATATTATTAGAAAGTAAGTATGTTTTAATAAAACAAAAAGTAAAATAAAAATTTATATAGACACAATAGCTATGAATATTTATAAAAGTATTCTAAAACTCATTTAATATTTAAAAAATTTTTTTTTTTATAATAACTTTCATAAAATTGTCCATTTTTTGCATTTTTCAAAACATATTATTAATTCTTATTTATCTTGCTGTAAACAAAATAGGACCTTTTATATTCAAACAAATTGTAAGCATATGTATTATTGATTTTTATACAAAAAAGATTTAGAAGTTATTGTATAAAATGAGATTCCACAACAGATATTATCAGTATTGCTAAGAATAATATTTATTGTATTTTGGCTTAAAAGAACTATTTATCAAATGATAATTTCTTATTATACACTAGTGTGCGAAACACACTAGTGTACAAATAGCAATTTCTTAATACACACTTGTGTTTAATAAATATTACACGAATTTATTTACGTCATTATAAGATCATTGCTACGCGAATTGATATATTTGTTATACTTTTTACTTACGAAAATAAACTTTTCTTCTTCTAAAGTTTCGTTCCAAACTAAAAAATGATGCAAGACATATCAAACCTATTAGTATTTGATATTGATAATGATAACAATACAAACTATATAGATACTTTTTTCCTTCAAGTATTTCATTTCATTTTATATTTTTTCCTTTTTTAGTACCACCATTTCTCCTTTGTTTAACTTCAGTTAGTTTATTTGTTAGTTTTCTATTCAAGATTTGTGCGACTTTCTTAATAATAATGATCAGCTTAACGGTCAAATAAATTATTCAAAAGACCTGGAGTCAACAATAATTAATAAAAATCAAGAAAACTATAATGATAAAAATGTCAATATCAATGCTTACTCTTACTTTAATTAACCATTTTTAATTTTTTTAAACTAATTTTTACATTCCATTATGGCATATTAGTCTTCTGTTCGATCTTCATATAACTTCAGTTCTAGTGACGAATTTAGAAATGATCATTATCAGCATCATGATGTTACTGCTCAGCATTCTTTTGATGATATTGAATTACCTGATAGTTCAGAAGAAACAGAAGAATATTTGGAGTTAAAAATTGGGCTTACCTTTACAAATTAGGCAAAATTCAATATCTGGATTGATGATTTTGCTAAAAAAAAGGATTCAACTATAAGGTTAGGACTAGTCAAAAGAATGGAAAAATAATGCGTCATATTTCTTATGAATGTTCAAGATCAGGCAATCACAATTCACAAGTATCTTCTGATCTAACTAAGAGACGAAATGCAACTTCACAACGTACGCAATGTCCATGGAAACTTAATGTTGCTTGTCCTAAGACAAATAATGTTGTTAAAATTAATTCATTTGTTGATAATCATAACCATATTTTTACTTCAAATATACAAGAAATGGCTCCAAGATTTTGAAAATTAACTCCAGAAATGTTATCTGACATAAAAAAATATGTCATTCAAGAACGAATGGATTCTGGATCTATTTACCCATTACTTATACATAACTATCCTGGATATACTATCTTTAAAAAAGATCTATATAATGCAGTATATCAATTTCAGCTTCAAAATAACCCAGGTGATTCAGATGCATCTCAAATGTTACAAATGTTATTGGAAAAGAAGTATTCTGATCCATTATGGATTGTTAAACCATGATTGGAACCTTCATCCAGAAAGTTAAATCATTTATTGTGGATGTCACCACAACAACGGGCTTTATATGAAAGTTTTTATGATGTTGTATTCTTGGACACCACATCAAACACAAATTAGTTTCAGATGATGCTTTGTGTTGTTGTTGTCATTGATAACCATTTCAAGTCAAGAATCGTAGCTTCTGCAATTATAGAAGATGAAACATTAGATACCTTTTGATGGATTCTAATGACATTATTTGAAGAAACAGATATTAATCCTGGGATTATATTTACCGATTCAGATCTATCTTTAATTAATGCAATCAAGGAAATATATCTCAATACCAACCATTTATTATGTATTTTCCATATTGACTTAAATCTTCGTAAAAAACTTAAGGGTAAATTAGGAGCTCGCTTTGAAGAATTTCGTCACAAATTTTATACTTGCCAAAATTCTTTATGTATAGAATTATTTGAATCACGATGGGTACAATTAATTTCTCAATATCCTAAATCAGCCAAATATATGTCTGATATTCTTTATGTTAATAAAGAGTCGTAGGACATCTCCTGGATATATAATCAATTTACATATGGTGCACAGAGTACCCAAAGAATAGAATCCATTAATAAGCAAATACATGATAAAGTTGATCGGTCTACCTCTTTATGTAATTTGGTGATTAATATAAATGATTATGTCAAGTGCGAAGAACATTTTGAAAAATTTGAAATTGAGCGTAATGCTCTACCAACTATTGGATTACCAATGTTACATAATAGGTTTTTTGGTTAGGTAGATGATAATATCAAACAATACTTAATCCTATTATATTGGGAAAGCAGCGATTACAAATGAATCAATCAGTATGCTATGATTTGAATCGTATTATGAATTAGCAACAATTATTAGAGGTATGTTGTGTTGCTTGTTGATTATTTGTTTATTTTGTTTTGTATCTAATATTAATTGTTTTTTTAGACAGATATTGATAATGAGGAGATTTGTCATATGGGCTGATTTGTCTACTCTGCATTAAAAAGAGTTATTGATTGATTTTCACAATTTTTGTTACTCAAAATTGTTTTGTAATACCAAAAAATCATCTGATTGATGATCACTTGACTAAATAATAAGTTGAATAAAAATTTATATTTGCGAAACTTAATTATTAAATGTAAAAGAGCTGTGAAAAAACCCATTTCACTAATAAAAAACCCATTTCTCATATATATGGAATTTTTAACATATATTATTAAAAAGTAAGTATATTTTAATAAAATATAAAGTAAAATAAAAATTTATATAGCCTTAGTAGCTATAAATGTTTATAAAAGTATAATAAAAATATCATATAAAAGATGGTATCATAATAAATATTTTTAAACAATAAAAATAATTATTTTATGTCAGAGTTTGTATTACCATCTTTAAACGCAAATATATCAAGATTCACTGATCCGTTTTCTATAATTTTAGTCTCGTTGGAAAGCCCTTGTTCTGGACTTTATAGGCGAAAAAAGAGCTCGCCGATTGAATCATTAGATCGGGAGATATTTACATTTAAAGTTGAGGTATGAACTTTTTAACATGCTTAAATGCAAATATCTTGGGATCCACTGATCCATTTTTTATAAATTTAGGCTCTTTGGAAAGCCTTTGATCTGGTCTATATGAACGAAAAAAGAGCTTGCCAATTGGATCACTGGATCTGGAGATATTTACGTTTTAAGTTGAGATATAAATTTTTAACATATATAGTAAGTGCTAAGAATTATATTAATTTAAAAGAAATATTTACCAAATTATAGTATAATAACATTAAATAAAAATTTTTTAATACTCATTTCCAATTTACTGTATATTATATAGTATTTTGTATAATAAAAATGTAATAAAATTAATATTTTAATTAAAGGTAGACAAATCAGCCCATATGTATTAGACTTCGAGAACAAGAACAAGATATTCGTCAAGTTCTTTTCAAATCATTGATTAAAGATGTATCTCAAAAAATTGTATTGGAAGTGTGGCATATTCAAGCTACAGGAACATCAGGCATTGGTCATTATGTGGTGCTATTAAACGATGGTACACATTTGTGTACATGTCTTTTATTAATGAATAAAGGCTTAATATGTCATCACTTTTTTCGCATTGCTACTTATTCTCAATCAGCCATATATCATATAACTCTTATATCAGTTCATTGGTACCTTAAGCCTAATATCAATCAAGAAACTCTTTTACAACAAATACCAGCTATTACATCATTATGTTCTACAAACAATTCAGACAAAAATCTTCCTATTACCAATAGTACATTCAACCATTTATTTTCCATTTGATCTATATCATGCCATTCTAATTCAATAACAAAGTCAAATAAAACTATATATGCAGAGTTGTTTGGATTATCAAGAAAGGTTATTGATTCAGCTATTAAAGCTGATATGTACCGAAACTTATCTAATATGTTTAAAACATTTCTATATGATATACAAAACAAATTTGATGAAAAGCAGCAAACAAATGAAGAAGACTATCTTGATATTAACAATCCCAATATTACCAAGCATAAAGGACGTCCACCTAAAAGACTGCAATCAAATGTTGAACAATCCTCCTCTAAAGGTAAGCATGCATTAAGAAATAGTATGCAAATTGACGAAAATGCAGAAGGTAGTAAAGGACGTAAGTGTGGGAAATGCAAACAGTACAGACATTATGCTAAAACTTGCCAAACCTTGATGTAATCATCTTGGGCTAGAATTTCATCAAGGTTCGTGATTCATTGAAATTTTGAGTTTAAGTTGTTAAAATTTGATAACGTTTGCTAATTTCATTATTTTTCGTTAAGATTGTTGGAGTTATTAGATTATTATAATATTAGCATTAGGAACGTTAGGACTTAGTAGAAGCATTAAGAGCATTAGGAGTGTTGGAGTATTAGGAATTAGGATTATTGATTGTTTGGAAGGAGTAATAGCGAGAATCGTTAGAATTGTTAGCTGTTAAGTTATTAGGATCATTAGAATGATGTTAGGATCGTTGGTCATAAAGAATGTTAATTAGAATTGGTAAGTTGTTAAGTTGGTTTTTGGGTCATTACAAGCTTTAGAATTTGTAGAGAACAAACTTGTATATCACATGTAGCACAATTGATTTTATTAATGTATTGTTAGTGAAACTTTATTAAAAATAAATTCATTGGTTTAAACATGAACTTTTGTTATCGTATGACTTTTTATTATAATCACGTGACCCGTGTTCATACACTTGCTTTTTTTCGTGTTAAATGATCAGCATAAAAATTTGCTTTTTTTGGAAATAGTGTTCAAACACATAGTGTACAAATAGAAATCGTCTTATCAAATTTATCAAATTATTGTATTAATAAAATCAAATAAAATTTTTTTAATGTTCGTCCCAGATCCTACTGCGCCATATGTAATAATTTATGTAACAAAAGTATCTTAAATAAACATGTTAATTAAAGGGTGAACAAATCCGCCAATATGAGATATTAATGGCAATTAAAATTCTAATTTATAGTTAATTTTCAATTAATTCTAATATAATTTTATTTACTTTAATTAATGGCTTTTTGTTTAATAATATAATTTAACTTAATTCTGATAATTTCAATAATTTGGCTTAGTTCTAATGATTTGGCTTAATTTCAATAATTTGGTTTAAATTTTTACTACTAATAAAATAAATATAAATACAGCTAACTAAAAATGCAAACCATCCATTTTTTGTTAAAAAAAAAATAAATACAAATTTTCTTTTTAATAATTATCTGTTATAAAAATTTTTTAAAATGGTATGCTAATATATTTGTATTTGTATATTTTATATAAAATTATAGATACTAATTAAATGTTTAATACTATATTTAATAGGCTGAAAGTAGTACTTTAGAGTTTAGATAATACAAATTTCATTTTAAATAATAATTTAGATTATTCAAATATTGATATAGATGATATAAGTACTATTTTAAATAATGCTGAAAATTTAATTCAAAAAAAGATAGGCAAAAAAAAGGATAAAATGTGGAATTATTTTCATATTATAGATATTCCAAATAATCCTCATAAGGGTGCGATATGTAAATTTTATTTACAGTCTTGAAAATATGAAAAGCCAATTGAAATGAAAGATATTGCAAAAGTTAATAAAACTTTAATACACTTTTTTGTATATTGTGAAATATTTTTTTTTATTGTAGATTCTTCTTTTTTTTAAGATTTTGTAAAAAGCTTATACTTTAATTATGAATTGCCAAGAAGAACAACTTTATCAACTACTTATTTAAATGAAGAAGCAGCTAATAAATTATTAAAAATTAAAGGAGAATTGCATCAATCAAAAAATTTAACTTTAGATTAGAATTTTTTAATTTTATTATTATATATCTATCTGTTATTAAAATAGGACCCCAGAAAATACATATACAGGTCACATTTAAGTTTTGGCGAATTAACTCAAATTTAACTTAATGTCCAAATTTAAGTTTTGGCGAATTCATGAAAATTTAAGGGGTAGTCATAATTTTTAGTTTTTGCGAATTGTATGAATTTTCTCATAGTCATATTATACGTTTTGGCGAATTGAATGGATTTTCTCATAGTCATATTATTCGTTCTAGCAAATTTATCCTGTTTTGGTATTTTTTTTTTTTCACCCTTTCTCACGATCAGAAGTATATATTTTGAAACTAACTACGCGTTTTTTTTACAAAAACTAAAACTTTACTTTTATAATGTTGAAATGGAAGCATACTCAAACTCGCTTAAGTGATAATAAATTTTGTGCAGCTAT